GAGACAAGGATAACTCTATCACTAACCAAACCAGTGGTAGCAGTTGACATCTGAGTCAGATGACCGCCTGTATTACTTGGGATAAATGCAGGGGGTACCTCTTGAGTTCATAGCCAACAAACATTGGCGAATCAAAAGGTTCAGCCGGCCTCCGCCGCCTGGTACCTTTACTACTCAAGCAGGAGTGACGGCGACTGAGTAACTCCAAAGTTAACTCATAGTAACTCTCTCAAACTTAGTATGGAGCCTAAAAGGTATGAGTCGTCCGCCTGTTTTTAGCAAACAGGGGCTCTCAATCACTACTCCTGCTAGGTTAACAACTTATGAGTTAAAAGCCAACAAACATCGGCGAATAAAGGGGAGCAACCGGTATCCACCGCTTGATACCTCTACTACTCAGTTACTTGGCGACTAGGTAACAATCATGTTTACTTGGTCACTCCCTAAAAATTTTAGTTTGAAACTAAAAAGGTGTTCATACAGTCGGCCTAGACGGCCTAAAGTCTCTAGCCTAAAAGCATGACAAGTAGGAAACAACTTTCCTACTTGGTTAAATTTTACAAATGACAGGACCGCCTGCCTAAAGGGGATCCAACCTTTAAAATGGTTCGAATACCGATTGGATAAATGGCCGACTGATCGTCTAGCCTGGAAACAGACAACCAGTCGTCCAGGGGCATAGGCGGCGTGACTAACTATCCGTACCTGTTTGCAACTATCGGCCATGTAAAACAGTCGGTATAGTGTGTACAATTGGATATCAGAATATTCAATACTTAAACAAATTTGAAGCAAAACAAAAAAAAAATTCATTAAAAAGAAGCCGGTCATCAAAGACCGGCAAAATATTCAGAGCCCCGGCCCCCTGGCTGGGTAAATACGAACAAACGGCACGCAGGCCGTGGGAAGAAGACATAAAGCTTAAGAAGGGGGCAGATCTTCAATATCAGCAGCTGCCGCCTGGTCAGCACTCTTCTTGCTGGACTCGGCTTCAGCTGCATCCTTCTTTGATGCATTACCCCCAAGCGGCACAAGAGCCACTACCGGCTGCTCCTCCTCCAACGCCTCTTCCTCAGCAGCCGCCAACGCCTCTTCCTCAGCAGCCGCCAGGATCTCCTGATTATATCTATCAGAACACTGGCGGTACGTTTTTTCCCATGAGGCAAAGTCGGCATTGGGGAAGAGGCGGCCCCAAGTCAACCGCTGGATTTGAGCAGAGTCTTCCATCATCTCCCGGACCAGCTCTTTCTTTTCTTGCTCGGCCTTTTCCGAGAGCTCCTGAGTAAGACTCTTCTCCTGGGTCACCAGGCGTACCTTTACGCTCGCCAAGGATTTCTCCAAGGTTTCGTATGAGGACATCTTTTGGCGAAGAGGTCTCAGCTCGGCCTTGAGGTTGTTGATGGTCGCCTCTAGCTCGCTATTCCTCTTCTGGGCCGCCTCTAACTGAGCCCAAATAGCGGCGGTAGCCTGCGCCTGATAATAAAGAATATCAATGGTCAGAACTTCATTTTGGGCAATTTGAAACATTGCCTTATCACAGTCAGAGGCGGCCATAGCTTTTGCAACCTTTACCTCTTTGTTCTTCCGGTCAAGCGGCTTGCGAAGGCCGTTCACTCGGAGCAGGGCCTAAGTAAAAATGGGAACAGGCGTCAGTTTCCAAACAAAAAGAGAAAACAGGCGTCCTGGAATTCAAATACTCAAAAATATGCTAAGTATACCTCAGCAAGGACCCCTGCAATCCCGTCTAGGTCAAGGGTGCCGACACCCCTGACCGCCTCCCTTTCAGCTGGAGGAACGACCTTGATCATAGACTTGGCCACCTCGACCTAGTAAAGAAGGGATCAAATCTAAAATTTACAAGGACAATTTCATACTTCTAGGTGGCCCAGCTGGAGTTTTAGAAGAAGTGGCCGGCTTTTTCTCAGCCGCCGCATGTTTCCTGGCAGAACCAGGAAAGCTCGCAACAGTCGTCCTACGGGCCTTGGGGTCCGGCTGTTGGGAAGAAGAAGCTCTTGGAGCGCCCGTCTAAAAAAGAAGAAAAGAGTCAGTATATGCATAAACACAACTCCAAAAAGAGGGTGAAAGGTTCGAAGCCCACCAAGGGTGCCCCCTTGTTGGGGGAGTCGGTTGAAGACTGTTGCATGATGGAGGCCCGCAACATGGCCGCCGCAGTCTTGGAGGCGGTAATTTTGCTCATGGCGTCCGATGCAAAAACAAATAGCAAAGTTAATAAAAGTCATAACAAGAAATGCACGGAACAACAGAGTATTCGACAGGCCGGCTACCTCTTGAGCACCGACTGCTGAGGCCACAGGCGGCCAAAAAGTACTCGTCGTAGAGCCATTTGAAGCTCGGGACGCAGTGCAGGGTACTTGCTCTCGTACCCCTGAAGTAGAGTTCACCTTCGACTCTACTTTGAAGAGTCCTTTATCTAGGATCTCTTTCTTAGCCTTGGGGGGAACAGGCGGCATGCTGCGGCCGCCTGCAAGAAGGGGCGGATTCCTTTTCCACCTGTTGAAGCGCTTGTTCAGCTCTGTGTCTGAGCTCTCAATGATGAGGAAGGTGCTCCGCCAGTCCTTCCATTTGTTTGCTTTACCTCTCGTCATGAGGTAGCCCCTGTGGCTCGTCAATTGATACCAGCCGGTACCGCCTACCTTAGGGGTCCGGCTGAGGTAGTTCATGTGGGCGAAAGCCTCGAAGCTCGACTCCACCCCGTGCAGTTCGCACCCGGCCACATAGCCGAGTACGTTGACCCAGAAGTTCGGGGCTAACTGCCATAACCCCAACTCATACCCATCCAAGATCCGCTGAACAGTTGGATGTAGTGGGAAGCGCAGCCCAGCCTTGATGGCCGCCTCGTAGCAGCCAAAGCAGGCGCCATCATAACTGGTACCAGCCGTCCATACGACTGTGTCTTCTGGATCCGGCACGAACACTAAAAAGCCGGGGCCCATTGTGTGGTTTGCGATAAAGCTCTCCACTTTCTCTTGCATGGCCGTGATCCGGCCCCGAGGTACCGTGCAGTAGTAGGGGGTATTTTGCTCTCGGTGAGAGGCGGATGGCTCCGCCCAATCGTCCCCCTTCTCAACTGCGTGAGAAAGCCTCGCCTCTTGTAGGCGACTGTTTTTCTCTTCTGTGTCCAGGGAAGCATGGCCAGAAGAGCTAGACTCGGAATCGTCCTCTGACGAGTCCGAAGAGGACGACTCCTCCCCTCTCCCGGAGGGGCCAGCCTCCTCTCCTTTAAAAGGAGCAGGAGAGAATGTAGAATTGTCAACTGTAAAATGGGAAGGGGTCACTTTGACTCCTCCCTCAGAACTGCCGGCTTTCAAGCCGCTTTGTTTCACTTCCACATCTGGCGCCTGGTCAGATGTTTCACTAATCGGCACCCTGTGGGAGGAGCCGTCTGAGTTTGAGATCCTGGCAGTCTTTTTTGTTCTGGCCATCATGCTCTGCATAGACACAGATACAGTCGGACTTTGTATAAAGGGCAAAGATGGGTCCAGAAAAGGGCAGGCGGCACTCCTAGTTCTAGATTCAGCCGTCCCCGGTGACCGGCTGATCACTAACCTAGGTCGTGTCGTGTGCTTCCGTGGTGCCATTTCAAAAAAGAATAAAGTAAAGAGAAAATTAAGAGTAAGAGAACCGACGGTTACCTGAACGAGTGACGATTGATGAAGTTCTGAAAATCCTTTGCAGTCGGCTTGTCAGAGCAGGCGGTAGGCAGAAAGGGTCCAAAATGTCAGAGCAAGTTCAGGGGTCCGAATGTTCTCTCACAAAGTTTTGTCACTTCCAGAATTCAAAATTTTGGCGGGAGAATCTCTCGGCCTCTCGCCGAGTGACACCTGTAGCAGGCCGTCGCCTGTTACAGGGCGATACCTGTCACAGGTAACACGTGACCAGTCACGTGCCACTTGTGAGGGGCAAATGATTAGGGGATTTTTCCCCACCAATCACCATCTGACAAGTGGACCCATCAGGTTCCGCCATGTGTCCGTCACATGGGCCAATAGGAGCCTGCCACGTGTCAAGCAATGATCCGTCCACTATGGACCAATTACGACACGACACGTGTCCTTCCCATGACACCTGGGATAACCGGTCACCTAGGCCCAACTTCCGAGGGAAGCCCAATCAGCCCAAGGTTAACCTAAACCTAGATTGACACGTTTCCCGAGGTTATAAATACCTCCCTTAATCCCCATTAAGGGAGATTACGCTAAAAAGCAGATTACACACATTAAACACTCTCACCTAGAGAGACCCAATCACTTTAATTTCCGCATTAATTACTCCTTAATCAAGTACTAACTTGACCGTCGGAGGCGGATCTCCAATCATTCGGAGCATCCGTTTGTTTTGCAGGTACAGGCGTCCGGTTCCAGTCTCGGAATTTTAACTCTCCCGCAGGACATCAGAAAACCCCGAAACAGGAGGGAAATGAACAGTGTAAAGGTCAAGAGGGGTGAAGAATAAAGGGTTGACTTTCGTAGCGGTTGCCTATCAACCTGGTGCAATATGGAAAGATGGGGTAAAGGTTGGTTTAATCTGGAATAATCAAAAGGTTGGTGTATTTTAAGAGAAACGGTTAAATGTTGGATTATTAAAAGTAATTTTTCCTTTATTATATTAGAAAAGTATAAATAAATTCATTCTCATTTTCATTCTCATTTTTGCATATTAGTTTAGGGCTCCGGTTACCCTGGTTTTGGGCTTCAGTTAACGCGATTGTCGGAAATAAAAAAAACTACCACCTTCCTGCCAACGAGGGAAGGTGGTGGGTCGTCATTGAGGGGAATGTGGTGGGACGCCGATCAGGGTGGTGGTGGTCGTTGCCGGTCAAAAAGGGGGCGGATCCCGGGGAGGATAAGGGGTGGTGAAATAGTAAGGGCGTGTTTGTCCATTTACACTAAATGTTGGTTGTGGAGATATTTTTTATGACGGTGTTTAGCAATCCACAAGTATAAATATAATAAATTCATTACCATCCTTGCGTATCACCCATGACATATACAAAATCTTATACAATAATCTTTGTACCATTGTCCATCAATTCACCAAGGTATCCACACCTATTAATACTTGATGACGAGGACATAGGAAGTGGAGGGATGGTGTAATCCCCCATATTTTCTTAGAAAATAATAATTATATATTTTTATGTATACGATTATTTTAATAATATTATAATTATACATAAATACTTTGGGAAGATTTTTTTTTTTAAAAAAAAAAAAAATTACACTTCAATAGCATTTTACTCGCCTTGGGCTATGATCACCATTCTAACCTTACAAAAAAATAAAAGAAGCCCAAACCTCCCAAACCCTCATTTTCTAATTAAGTAAACTTTTTCAAAACCCTCTTTTTTTACTGCTTCCCTTATTACTCCCTCTCCCTTGCTTCCTCATTCACGAAACACACACACACACACACAAAAAAAAAAAAAAAAAGAAGAGAAAACGCTCCACTAGTCGCAGCCACCGAGCACCACCACCACCAGTGCCCACCTGCTGTCGCGCCGCCCAGCCGCCCAGCGCGCCGTCCAGCCGGTTTCCCCTTCTCTTCTATCTTCCTCTTTTCTTGTTTAATTTCTTTTAAAATTTAATCTTTATATAAATTTTTGATTTGATTATGCATATACATGATAAATATTGCAAATTTATTGAGTTATGTTGCGAATTTGTTGAGTCTATGACATACTAAGTATGTGATTAATTTCAGATTTTATTAGCTACGAAATTAGGGTTTAAAAATCGTGATTTTCGCAAGTTTTGGACTTAAACCATGAATAATTGATTTAACTAATTACTTTGTATTTAAACATGGTTCTACCTTTAAATTTTGATGATTGTAAACAATTTTCAGATTTTCAGAAAATCTGATTTTGGGTTTTAAGTATTGATCTTTCATGATTTGGGGGTTTAAAACATGAATGATTAATTTAAGTACTTACCTTGTGTTAATTATAATCCTAACCTTAATTTTTGATGAGTATAATAATTTTCAGTTTTTTTTTTTTTTTTAGAAAGCTGATTTTTGGGTTCAAAGCAGGAAGCTTAGATTATTTGATTATAGTATGTATATAATTATGTTTAAAATTTGATTACCCCGTTTATAAACTAAATTTCAGATTTCAAACTATATATGTATATGGGTTTAAGCTGTGAAATTTGAAAGTTAATTGGGTATTTATGAATATGATTGAACTTTAATCATATATTTCAAGTTTAGATGTATGTATCCCTATATTTTGCTACTAAACTGAAATTTCAGATTTTAACTTTTAACTTTGAATAGCTTTAAATCATGGTTATATGATGGATTTTCAAGTTCCCAACATACTAACGTACTATATAACGATTATTTTAAATGAAAACGTTTATGCGGTTGTTTTATAGTTTTAAACTAAATTTTCAGATTTATAATGTTACTTTAAAGTGCTGAAATTTTATGCTATAAGCTATACTTTTATGATTTTAGCATATAAACTCATAGTTCAAGTACTAATTATTTGATTGATTGATGTATGATTGGTTGAGTTGTTTGTATATGAGTCATCACCAAATTTTAAACTGGTAAATCACGAAAAGTGCAAGAAGGATGAGCAATAAAACTCTGGATTTGTGCACATCTAGAGTAATGACAAACATGGGTTGGGGTTCACAAGGTATTAGCCGTGCACTTTTCAGACGGCCCGTGCACTTTTCAGAGGCCGTCTGATCTACGAGTCTCTTGTTTTAAATTCTTTTAAAATTATAATGAGTTAGATGAGATCTTATACTAGCTATAGCCACGGAGTCGCGCCCGTCTACCATTGGATGTTTATTAATGTCTTCCGAAAGGAGGCATAGGGTTTTCTTATTTAATGTTCCGGAATGGAGCATAGGGGGACAACCCGGTCTATTGCTTAATCCAATCAATTAATGAAGTAATCAATGCTATTTAAATAAAAACTTAGTAATGAGTAACCATGGAGTCATGTGTTCGAGTCAATGTTAATATTGTGAGTGTATGGAATGCTTGTTAGTATCATGCTAGAACTCTTTAAATATTTCGTAACTTGTATGTACTCAGCGTTGCTGATTGCGTGCTTTTGTGTGTCTTTCTTTGGTCATGGCCTTCGCCTTCAATGACCCTGTAATGATCCAATTATTACACTTGTAATATTGGGGAGTAGATTCACCACAGGTTTTTGCATAAACTGTCTTGCATCAGGGTGATGGGATTTGAGTGGAGAGTTGGTTAACCAGTTAGCTTATTTCATAACACAGATTGAATTTTATTTTGGTGTTGGTTCCATTACTTCCTATTTTACTGGATTTTGAATACGGGCCGTTATGGTTCCAACTTGTAAGACTTTGAGTTTTGACTTCCAGTTTTGAAACTTATATTCTTTTTAAAACTAAGTTTTTCGCTGCTGATTTCTGAAACTAGCCTTAACGTTTGAACACGTGGCGGTAGCACTCTAATAATTCTCTTACAGGTTTTACAGGTTATCACAGGTTTTCTTTTAGAGAGAATTATTGGGGTGTTACAGATGGTTAGTCCCTCCATCCCCCCCCCCCCAAAATGGTTGGGGGTTCGATCCTCATCCCCTCATTCCTGTGATAGGGTGGGAGACTCCCGTATCTTATGGTATTAAAAAAAAATAATGATAATTAATACTTGATGACCTTGTCAAATCTATCTTATTCATAGATTTTAAATTGAACTGAATATGTTTTTCAAAATTTTTCCTTCGGATTTGCAGACTAGAGCCAACAATGTATTAGAAGAGGAGGAGAGGAGATGGAGAGTAAAAATTATTCTATCCTTATTTTTGTGTTGAAATTTGGAACACCCACCATGCAGGTATAGAATTACAATTGTGAACAATTAGAAAATTCATAAACATAAACAACTAGGGTGTACTATGATGTCGAAACTCTTACAATCACAATCGACCATATAAAGTTATATGTCACAAACTCTTATGGTTACAATCAACTATATAAAGTATGTCACAAACTCTTACGGTCACAATTTGTTGAGAATCGAGTAACAGATAAAAATAATATCGACGGGAAGAAAATAAAGTTCGAAAATAAAGAAAAATTGGACACAATATTTTTACGTGAAAAATCCTCTTGAACTAGGGAAAAACCACGATCCTACGATCCTGATTTCAAGGGACGAAACGTCACTATAATATTTTTGGGAGTACAAAGGATATGACTACAACTACAATATTAGCCAATGTGTTTAGGACAAAGTGCTACTTTGTACCCTTCACAATGGTACTTCCACTAAGTAATACTAAACACCCTCTCACTAATATTGTGTTTAACTCACACCAATTACTCCCTCTCACACTTGTGTTTGTGTATTCTTCAACACTAATACACTCACACTAGTACTTCTTTTCACTCCAAGTTTTTCTTCACTTCTTGTTTACATACGTCAATTGCCAATTATATAGGCCGCATAGTCGCTTTGGTAAAGCAGTTCGGGTGACAACTCAAGCCTTTTCAACTAGCTACATTAATGCTAGTACCAAAAATTCAAGGCCTATTTGCCTAGCTTAACACCTAATAATTTCACCTTGGAGGCCAAGGTAACATTGCACACCACTTTTCATCCTTCTTTTCTTTTTCTTTTTCATTTTCTTTTACAATACAATAAAACAATTTTTTATACTAATATGTGATTTGAGGAGATTAACCCAACACAATTGACTCACAACAATGGGTATTAATGTCACAACAATGGGTATTAATGTCTCAACTTTCTTAAATCCTCTTATCGTAAAGATGTTGAATGGAAATGGAATGAAGCAAAGGATGATTGATGGTAGTCTATAGCTCAAGGATTGGTTTTTCAGCTGTGATAGCGAGGTTGGTCGCCGTTGAAGGTCTCGAATCAAACGAACAGATTAATAATGCAACAAACAGGTGAATAATGCAATGTAAAGCAGGTACCAATTACTGTTATTCCATTTAATCAAATGTTGTTTGAGTACAAATACTGTACAAGTCTTTGTTTTTTATACAAAAAATTAATGTAATAAAGCCACATTTCCTCTGCACTTAAACTTGTATCAACTAGATAACGATCAATTAGCATGATTTGGAAGGAGAGTGTTCACCAGTTTATAATTGTACTAACAAGTACAGAGTAATAAGCAAGACTAAATGTTCACTGATAAAAGGATTCTTAATTGCCGAACTGTATGTGCAACTGCTTAAGACAAAAGAGAAAGGTTACAGGCTTACAGCTGAACCTATCACACTAGAAAACATATCTACAATACAAGAGAGAACGACAAAGTACGTATGTTAGCCTTTACGCATTTAATATGCACTATTCAAAAATGCCGAAGAGAAGCCACTAAATGGCTAGGAACTAGAGATTAGTCAGGGATGCAGACATAGAATTTACATCGCATTTTGATTTATGCTCCTCCAAGGCAAGCTACGAAGAGTATGAACACAGAACACCTATAAAAGTTTATGTTTCTTGCTAATTACAAGCACCAAGCAAAGTAGTCATCAACACCTCCATCAGCCAAAAGAGCACTCTGCTCGCTTTTAAATCTCTATACCACTCTCATCTGCCATTCTGCCTGCAACAAATTAGAATATACTTAGAATTACTTGTAACAACTAGTAATGAACAAATGTTTGGAATAAAATGGGGATAAAGAAATGGATAGGGACAGAGAATTTATAATAGGGAATCCATAAATCTTGTCCCTTGTCTGGTATGAGTTGAGAAAACAACGAGGATGAATAGCCAATTAATTACAACAGTTAAAGTCTTTTCACCCACATTTCTAAGTACTAACCCCCATACCACCCTCTCCCTAAGTATAGAAATGGAGATATAAAGGCGGTTTCACCCCCATCCTTATCCTTCATTTTATCCCTTAAGCCTTAAACTACATAACAAACATGGTATCCTTCTACCAAACAACTACTAGTGTTTAACTCTTTACTTCTAGAGAGTTGAGCTTCACAAACACACTCACTTTCTTCTCTCCAGCTTCACTCATTAATCTCCATGCAAAAAGGTTAAAGATAACTTTATATTAGGGGGGAAATACCTGTTAAAGAAGGCAAAACACTGCCCTTGAAACTCATACCATTAATAATCACAAATAGAAACCACATTGATATTGACACCCTATACAATAATCACATGACATTTTTTTTCGGCAACCACATGGAATATTATTGGAGCACCTTGCTAGTGATTTGAAGAAATACTATATATAAACTCAAGAAAATTCTTTCAAACATTGATAATTGGGGTCTCTAAAGTTGCTGCCCTATGCAGGGAGGGTTCAACTGATAGTTTTGTTTATTTGGGGTACAAGCTTATGGGAGTCAAGTGTTCCCTTAACCACATAATGTGTCAAGCTTATTCAAACAACTTGCAAAACCCCTCTTGTAAATTCTTGTGGGCTGGCACCTCAGGGGCTTCCGAAAGGGCTTTAGTGGCTTAGGATACATTGTGTCTCCCTGAATCAGCAGGTGGTCTTAATCCTACATGCTTACCAACTTGGAACAAGGCAACCATTTACAAACTTCTATATAGACTTTCCTAAAGAAAAACATAGCATGGATCAGGTGGGTTCATATAAACAGTTTGAGATACAGTTAAACCTTAGAGTCTCACAAATGTCTGCTCCTGTTGGGACATCAAGGGTTGTAACTAATCTATCTGATATGATTGTTCTGCGGCAGGATAAATTCTCTATTAGGAAAGTGTATCAAGACATGAGAGGGATTGTGGAGTGACTAGGAAAAAATTGGTGTGTGATAACCCAGCCCCTCAAAATTGTGTGCTTACTACATAATAGACTACTAAGGGATGTTCAGTAACATGTGACAATTGCTAGGGATTTCAGAATACTCAGCATAAACTAGAAGAAGAAATTAGCTGGATTATGCCTTAGCTAAGGTATGCTTGTGAGCCTATTGGCATGAAGTTACTTTGTCTGGTTGTGTACGAAGTATCTTTAATGCATCCAAAAAAAAAAAAAAAGAGGATTTCACGTACCAGCATCGCAGCGGGTCAAGAACAACCCAACAGCTCCGACTTCCTCTGCCAAAACCGTTGGAACCTTTGCCTTCCATACTCCAAGTAATCAAATTCAATTTCATTCACATGTTGCTGATGAATAGAAAAGTAATGATTCACATAGAATCAGTATATATAGATATGATAATGTAAAGACACACAAATAACTATTATCGGCCACACACTGATGATTTGAGTCACATTGTTGTTCTACCACTGAGAATAGGAGGCAATTAGAAGCTATAGCTATATTTCAATAATATAATTGAAAGAAAAAATTAAAATAGTTCAAAAAAAAAATCTTTATTACCAATTCAAATTACATCTTTGAAACCATGATATAGGAGAGCATGTTGTGCAGGTGGACTTTATTGCAAAAGAAAATAAACCTATAAGTTGTAGTTGTTTAGCAGTTTTGTTTTTCCTTACTTTGGTAATAAATTCCTTTCATTTGCCCAAAAAAGGGGAGGGGGTGGGGGGGGGGGGGGGGGGGAGGGAAAATTCCAAAGTGTATGCTAAACTTATACTCTGGATGGAGTTTATGTCAGAATAAAATAAAATCCCTGTAGTCTTTTCTCCCCAAGTCAATTAAGTTTGAAATAAGATTATAGTGGCAACATTACAAAACATCCTCCATAACTCAAAAAGGAACAATTCTCATGCAGTCTTATTGCACCCTTGAGAATACTCCCATCACTTATTGCTTCAGTAACAATACTACAAAAGTGTGTTCACCTCTTGAGGTTAAGTGGTGATTTCACATGAATTGATAAATAGTAAAATATCATGTGTATGACTACGGTAATGTTTCTGCTAGGTAAATAAGCTTTTGGAGCGTGTGACTTAAAAGTATTAATGAGCTAATAAAAATAGACATGGAGCAAAGAAGGTTAAAGCAATGTTTGATGAACTAATTCATGAAAGGGATACATAATGCTCTGGTAGATAGAATTCCTTGCAGTACTCTAATGACAAAAGAGGGAAATGGTAGAGTAGAAAGTACCGATATTATGCCCCATAGTCCCCACCACAAATGGCTTGCAAGAGTATACTTCTCAACATCTTCAAGCAGCTGTCCGGCTTCACAATCATTGGACTGGCTTCCTGCAAACCATCCATGCACTCATAATCATATGATGTTTGAATTAAAATGACAGACAAAGCTAATAACAGTTGACATTACATTAAAGTTCCAAGTTCTCTTCAGCTACAGCTGCAATTTCACGTAACCCATTCATATATAGTTGGCATTAAAAATGAACATGTGCTAACTGGATTAAGGCCATTCAATATTTCCATCTAGTGAAGGTACATTAACCATCATCCCTGAAAAGGTACATGGAAAAGAAAAGACAGAGGTAGAAATGCCCAAAGAGATGCCAAAGATATAACCCAACCAGAAAGAGGTCAGGCATGATGAACAGATATCTAGCAAGGAAGTTAATGATTCAGGAATATAAAATAAGTACCTGAGGAGCTCAGATATATGTGTATAAACCTTTGACGCTCCTCTAAACCTGCAGTCATTATAAAGTCAACACGAAAGTAGATTACAGATTTGCAGAGAAAGATGGAAAATCTTCCATGAAAAAAAAAAAAAAAGAAAAAGAAATGTGTGAAATACGAAGTAAGTAACCAAGTAATAGTGGCAGATATCCAACAGATGTAACATCAAAGATAGAAAACCACAGATAGTCCTCACCAGGGTATTTGTTATAGTCCAGAAGATGAGGAGTTTCTGAATGGTAGTCAGCAGCCATCTCACAGAAGTGATTGGCTATATCAAATGCAATAGGATTGTAGCTAGAATATTCGTAATCCTATACAAAAACAGAATTAAGAAAATTAGAGGATTCAACATGGGAGGTGATGAGTGTAGAAAAATATGAAAGATGAGATACAAGACGACATTATCCTTGAACATAAAGAAAACCTTCCCATTTTAATCTAAAATCATGACAGATGCTTATTCAACTCCTAAACTACTAAAAAAACATTTTTTTTAGATAATAAGTCAAATAAAATAATCATTGAGAAAGCTAATGTCCTTTCATTTTGGACATTGCAGTGGCTGTCAGTGTGCAAGATTTACAGCAAAATGCTATGACAATAAGCCACCATAAAGGGGTGGGCCACTTCAATTTGGTGAGTCAAATTCAGCACCTAACAGCGCTTGGCAAAACCACTTCAGATAAGAGAAACTCACTATTATAGTTATTGACTTTGTTTGTTCATCCATCATTATGTTACCATACTGCAGGTCATTGTGGCAAAATCCTATGCAATGATTGCTAGTAAGCTTCCTTTCCAATTCAGAGATTTCTTCCTCAAGAGCATTCAAGCGAAATGCCTCAGCTTCTTCTTGGGAGCATAATCGTTTGGCTGTATTCAACCAATTACTGAAAGTTGCAAAGAACAAACAACAGGAGTTACATATTGTTACAATACAAGTATACAACTTATAATCCAAGCAATTGGAAAATGATAGAAAACTACCGTAATCGGTCCCAGAGTTTAATAACTTTGGATCCAGGCATGTCAAGATCATGGAATTCTCTGAGTTTGGAAGCTATAAGTGGAGATATATCTGGATCACGCATATCAGCTGCTGATAATGTCTGAAGTTCAAAAATTAAAGAGCTATTAGCCTCTTCCCAACAACATTTCCATATAATGCAGAATGTCCCAAAACCTTCTCAGTATAGAGTCAAAACCCACATCTTCATCAAGAACATATTACAAAAGGCATGCAAAATAGTCATATGCAGACCAATTCCTCTAAAATAACAAAAGGCTCATAGAGACATATCAGTGGAACAATAAGCAATATTAGTCAGCATTAGAAAATACTATTCGACTAATCTATAACCTATCACAAGCACATCCCTTGTATAAAATAAACAGGAACTAATGACTTGCTTTATCCCCCCTCCAATCTATAAGAAAACAAAATGTATATTATAAGAAAATCAGAGGAAAAGATCCTCTAGTAAGCTCAACAAATTGAAAAAAGGCTGACTGAAAGCTTACTATATGAGATAAACTAGCAAGTGCTAGCAACAGGTATAGTTATCCAACAAGGTATGTAATAGTAATACCACATTATTCCAAGACAAAGCTTTATCAATAACATTCAAAAAGTTTATAAATCTCCCATGTTAAGCTGCCTAAAACTCTATAATACAGTAACCTTACAAACATGCTAGAGAAATTCGTGTGAAAGATCATTCAAAAGGAAATATATAAATGGCTTGAAAAAGACTAACCCTTGCGCGAATAAACTCCTCAATCCTCCCAGTTGAAAAACGCCCCAATAAACGAGGCCCCTGGCCATGCTTTGACATACACTCAAAAGTCTTAATCTCATCCTCCCTATTAAAAAAGACGTCCACACCCTCACCATATATTCTTACTAAGACCTTCCGAGACATTTCCCCAGCTTTGGTTGGCCACTTGATTTGATATACTTCATTGGTCATTGCCCCCTTGAGTCGAATCACTTGTAAAGCATTTGGATCAGCTACATCACTCCATTTTGAAGCTATTGACTGAAGGATCTTCGTTGCCTCTGATGGCAATGGATTTTCTTTATTGGTTTTGGGACTATCAACAGCACCCATGACTAAAATCTGATGACTTTTCTGAAGATGATTCCCATTATCAGGCCAACAATTTAAATCAAGCAGGACTAAATTAGTTTGCATTCAGAGTACAATATGGTTCAAGATACAATGAAACTGAAGGAAAACTAAATACTTCAAATGATTTTACAACTTAAAACAATATATACATGCTATTTACTAGAGGAAAAAAGTTGACAAAAAAACTCAACCACTAGTCCACTACTTTGCAGGAACTACAAAAAATCACACAACCAACAACGGATTAGTCCTTAAAATACAATGATAGCTACTGAGGACAATTTTAGTGTAAGGTAAGATAGAGACATACAAAGCTTAACCATATGCCTCCACAAGCAGATATATTATTCACACTACAGCCCATTTTTTTCAAACATTGTCATCTATTGATTATCTACAACTAGTACCAACTTCGAAGATATCTTCTCTAATTGCTCCCGAATGACGCATGTATGACCAAAAACTCGGGTACATATACTTCCTTCCTTCATTCTTTTATCACAACAATTGAGATTGTACACTTTTCACATACTATCCTTTGACTATTTGTAATGACTTTTACATCATTATAGATAGAAGGTGAAGGTCAGGTCAGTGGGTCGTGTGTGTGCGTGTTTGAAAAAAGGGATAGGCGGATGAAAATATAACACAAGCACAATAATTCTGATCATATACTGCTTGAATAAGACACCGCCAAAGTTGGGACAATTCCTAGTTAACCAATATTTAGAACAATTCAAAGGATGATTTTCCTAGTTAAGAGACTATGATTTTGTCAATTATTTTCACTTATAAATTAATTTCATTTCCAATGTCTATGAAAGTTCTTGACACAACTAGATGGCCAAAAATAAGTTTCCTAATAAAAAAAATAATAGTAGAAAAAGGAACTTTTATTTAAGAACCTACTAATAGGAACCCACCAAATCTTTTTTATGTAATTCTCCATTGACAATTTTTATACGTGTAAATTGACACAAAAGAGCGTAACAACAGGACAATAAAATCTATGATAGGAACAGTTGTGGTAGCCCCAAAAGCATCTTTTTGTGAGAATAATATGTAAGTGCAATACCTTTGTTTGGATATGCTGTAAAATAGAATAATACTTCCTCAAATGTGATATGATGTTTAAGGTTAAAAAGAATGATTCCATGTAATCTTAAACATCGTGGACAAACTATCTTCTTCCCCACTTTTTAGGTCCCACATTTGGATAAACTCATATAACAACTTCAAGACTCCAAGTAATAATTTCTACACCCTCAATAAAAGTCTCATTTACCTTTTTGTTACGCCTTTTGCACAATTCTAACATTTCTAAGAAAGATGAATCTAAATGATAATGGGATTTGATTGACTAAAGGAGAATTAACAAAAGAAAAAGAAAAAGAAAATTGGAGTTTGATTAATCATAGGTTATCATTAAAAAACAAGATAGTGGGATTTAATACCAGTGAATAACTAAGAGTGAATATAAAATTAAAGACGAAATGATTTAGTGAAATGCGACTTTTATTTAGGGACATAGGGTGTAAATGATATACTTGTGTACCCAAAACTACAATCGTAAAATCGCGATATGTACTTTCAGAATGCGAGTAGTGGCACATGAAAAAAATGACTATCATGCATGGAAGACCCGTGCAGGCCCGTCCCTGAGGCAGGGCAGGAGGGGCGGCCGCCCTAGGCCCAAGGAAAAGAGATTTGATTTCATATTGAATTATCTCGAAAAATACATAATTTTAGGGATCTTTGATTCAATAATCAAATTACGCTCATAATTTTCTTTTCTTTTGGATATGATGTTTCATAATCTAAGAATTTGCGAACCCTAAACTTAAAGCACTGATAATTAAATTAGAATAGATCAAATATAAACCCTAGATTGTGAAATTGATGTGATGATAACAACAACAAACAACTTACCTTAGAAGCTGCTTCAATGGGGGATACAAGAATTACATTCAACGGAGAACGCTCCAATGGAGAACGTCGAGTGCGCTTCAATGAAATAACTCAGAGAAGAAGGAAATAGGAATGGAGGCCTATAAAAGCCATGACCCGCCATAGTTATAATATGGGTCTGATAAATAAGCGGGATGGATTTAATTAAACAAGAACAATAACAATAATAATAATAATAATAATAATTAAATTTAATCGGATTTTTCACCAAATAACACTAACAGGGGCGGACCCACCTTTAGTCATAATGGGTCCGGTGACACAGTATTTTTTTTTAAAATAAAATATCAAAGAGACCACTTATTATAGATAGGCGGTCTCTTTGATGCTGCTAACATCAAAGAGACCTCTTATAAAGGTAGGCGATCTCTTTAATGCTGCTATTGCTACTTAAATATTAAAGAGACCTGTTATTTATATAAGAGGTCTCTTTGATGCTGCTATTGCATTTCGCAATTTTTTTGCGCTACTTTTTTTTTCATTAAAGAGACCAGTTATATTTAATAACTGGTCTCTTAAGTTATCTCACTTTTTTTTTGTATAATTTTTTAATAATTTTTTTTCCCTTTTTATATCTTATATTTGTATAACCGATTTTAATATTTCCCCATAAAGCTTATCAATTAACTAAAAAATCATAAAGTTAATTCAATATAATAATTTTATTGTACCATTTGTTTATAACATGTTATTTGTAATATTTTCGACTTGTAAAATTGAATTCTTAAGTACTGTATTTGGTTGTGGTATGTATTTTTGTGTCCTATTTTTGGATTGAAATCAATTTGGTGAAATATGAAAAAAAAATTGTACTTTCACAAATGATCAATAATTGATGGTGACACACTATCTCGGAAATCTTGGATCCGCCACTGACCACTGAGTTATTGCAAAATTCACCATATACCACACAAAATTTTCTAATTCACCATATAGCATTGAGTTAATGTACATTAACACAGAATGCCATTTTTGGTAACTTCCGTTAACGCCGTTAGTAATTAAGGTTAATTGTGCCACGTGGCAGCTTGTAATTGGTTCTTATTAATATTATTTAATTACTTAAATAAAAAAATTAAAAAAAAACAACCACCTTCTCTCTCTCCTCTGACCGAACACCCAGACCACCACCTTATCCCGACATCCCTCGCCGGCACGGAATCCGACCAGATTCCCCCAGTCGCCGGTGCATTGGCCTCCCCCTGTCGCGCCTCTCCTGCCCCCTAAACCACCAGCCCCTTCATCGAAACCAACTCCCTCAGCCCGAAACCTCCTCCTCCTCGAAGAATCCCCAAATTCTCAATCATTCCTCCCAAAACGAAATCAGATAATTAGGGTTTCGAGATGAAGGTCGAAAATCATGGGTTTCTTCTATTCTCAAAGCTTTAGGGTTTGGTTTCGCTCGATTTGATTTCGCTCGATTTTATAGTTGATTTTTCTCAGTTTTCTCTCTTCATTGCCGCCATTAAAGAAACCTTTCATGGGTCATGTCAAGATTTGGGGGCTTTTCTGCCAACTAGGGCTGACTTACGGGCTGCCTTGGTGGCGTGTTGCGTCAGATTTGGGGGTATTCTGGCGGCAAAATTGAGGAGGAAGGGTTAGGTTTGGGGCGTTGTATTGGGTGGGGCGTCGGAGCGAGGAAGGGAGTTGTCGGCGGTGTTTTGGGCGTTTGGAGTTCTGGGTTGGTGGTCTGGGCGGTGTTTTGGGCGTTTGGGTTCTGGGTTGGTGGTCTGGGCGGTGGTTTGGGCGTTGGTGGTGGTCTGGGTGTTCGGTCAGAGGAGAGAGAGAGGGTGGCTTTTTTTTTAATTTTATTTTATTTAAGTAATTAAATAATATTAATAAGAACCAATTACAAGCTGCCACGTGGCACAATTAACCTTAATTACTAACGGCGTTAACGGCAGTTACCAAAAATGGCATTCTGTGTTAATTTACATTAACTCAGTGCTATATGGTGAATTAGATAATTTTGTGTGGTATATGGTGAATTTTGCAATAACTCAGTGGTATTTGATGAAAAATCCGTTTTTTTTTTTATACATGCGGCGAACCACCAGGCTGGCGGCTGCCGCCCGCCTGCCTTGCGGCTGCTGCTGCTGGCTTGCGCCGACGGTGGTGGCTGCCGGCCGGTGGTGGTGGTGTGTGGGGGTGATTATAAACAAAAAAAAATTAAATTAATAGCTGAAGGGGAAAAATTAAGAGGAAAATAAAATAACAGGAGAGAGAATTTACCTTTGGGTGCACTCCACCTTAAGTATAAGATGGGTATTTATACCCTCTTTTTTTTTTAGAAAATAGAATTTTATTACCAAAAAGGATAGTACAACCGACAAAGAAAGTTGCACTAGCGATAACACCCAAGCTACACAAGACCCGAGGGTCAAACCATCCCTAAAACAGTTCAAGGATCTGAGTTAGCCACCTTCTAGGAAGGGTTCTAAGCAGAGCCTAGAACAAACTAAGCCCATGCGCCAGAGCACCTTCTAGGAAGGATATCAGGAACAAGGACCAAGCAAAAGCCAAACCACCCCAAACAAAACACAAACAACTATTACACAAATAGCAAAGTAAATACAAACAGCTTAAAACAGGCTACAGGCTAGAAGAGCACAGGCTGACTGGACACAGGCTAGAAACCAGCATCCAAACCAGCTCACAGAACAGAAAGCAAAAGAGACCAGCCAGGAACAGGACAGAGCCAAACCAAGCCGACCCCCAGCAGACCAGAAACAGGCGACAAAATAAGCTTCAAGGACTCACACCAGAACCCAGCAGAAACACAGCATCACCATGCCTGAACACCAGAACACTAGCAGAAGCAAAGAAACCAGCAGCACAGCTAATCAGTAGTTATAATTAGCTTTTGTCTATCAACTGAATCACACCTGCAAGCAACTTTATACACCACATTTCTGAACACAACATTAACAGGCTCACAAGTGCCGTTGAACATAATGTTATTTCTTTGGATCCAAATGCTATACACAGTTTCAGCTAAGAACATCAAGTGTAATCTGCTAGTTGAGCTTGATCTCCTACATCTTTTAACTGCCCATTCAACTTCCTGACTGAAACCTTGAACTGGTTTCTGACAGTTAAGAAGTTGTAATACCTTCCCCCAAATTCTACCATAATAGTTACAAAGAAAAAACAGATGTTGAACACTTTCCCTTTCTTTTAAACATAAAAGACAAATAGGATCACAAGCAGGATTCCACTTGAGAATTTTGTCTTTTGTAAGCATTCTGTTCCAGGTAGCAAGCCATAAAATAAAAACACTCCTTGGAGAGGCACTATTGTTACAGACAATTCTTCTCCAGGGGACCTTGGAGCTTTAATTTGTTGTCTCAGATTGGCATAAATCTTTTTAATACAAACTCTATTGTTCCTCATCACAGAGCTCCAACCTCCAAAGTCATCTATCACCCTTCTATATTTCATTAATTTCCTGAGAACCCAGGATCCTCTCTGAGGAGTATCAGCTTCCCAAAACTCAACAGTTTTAAAGTAATACACATGAACCCACCTAACCCAGAGTGAGTCGGCCTTGTGAGCAATATCCCATAGAGTTTTGCACACAGCAGCAATATTCCAAGTATGTAAGGCAATAACATTCCACCCCCCACAGGATTTAGGTAAACAAACAGTGCTCCAAGCTATAAGGGCTTTCTTTGTTGGATTAGCAGTGCCTGTCCAGAGAAAAGCTTTAAGCCTGTTTTCAATCTCCTTCATGATCTTTTTTGGTAACACAAAAATCTGAGCCCAATAATTTTGGACCCCAAAGAGCACACTCTTAATAAGTTGTGATCTACCTGCATAAGAGAGAAACCTAGCAGCCCAACTTTCAATTCTACTAGTAATCTTGTGCACCAAAGGTTTACATTGTTGAATAGTCAATTTCTTTGAGGACAACGGAACCCCAAGATATTTAAAAGGAAGAGAACCAGTAGCCATACCCAGACATGCCAAAAGAATCTCCTGATCTTCCAAATTTATTCCTCCAAAATAAACCTCACTCTTATTGAGATTAGCAACTAAGCCAGAAGTTCTTGAAAATTTCTGAAAGGCCTTAAACAGAAGCTTGACAGAACCCTCATCAGCTCTAGCAAACATAAGAAGATCATCTGCAAACATAAGGTGAGTAATCCGAAGCTTCTCACACCTTGGGTGAAAATTAAAATCAGGCACCCTAACAAGCTCATGAAAGCACTATACTCCATTCCTATAGCAAACAGGAAAGAGGACATAGGATCACCCTGTCTTAATCCTTTTTTTGCCTTAAAGGGTAAGTAGGAGTACCATTGATCAAAATAGAGAAAGACACAGAGGTAATGCACCCCATAATCCAATTAATGAACACAACAGGGAAACCAAGCTCACACATTCACACTCAATGGAGTCATAGGATTTCTTCAAATCAACCTTGATCATGCATCTAGGAGTGATGTACTTGTGGTTATATCCTTTAATTAGTTCAGTGGCTAGCAAGATATTGTCACCAATATGCTTCCCTGGAATAAACCCAGCCTGAGCTTCATCAACAACCTCTCCAATAACCTTTGCAAGCCTAGCTGTAAGGATTTTAGAAACAATCTTGTAGAGGACTGTACAACAAGCAATTGGTCTAAAATCCTTAACATAAGAAGGGTTTTGCACTTTAGGAACCAGAGTTAAGGTTGTGCAATTCCATTGAGCATTCATAATGCCTGTTTCAAAAAACTCATGCACAGCCTCATACACTTCAAACTTAATGATTTCCCATGTATACTTGAAGAATTTTGAATTGAAACCACCAATCCCTGGAGCTTTGTCATCAGAAATATCCTTTACAGCACACTCAATCTCAAAATTTGTCACAGGGCCAATTAACATGTTCCGAGCTTCCATAGAAAGTTGCTTTCCAAATCTCATTGTACCCAGATCAATAGCATCAAGATCAGGAGAACTGGACCCCATCAATAGCTTGTAAAACAGAACAATTTCCTGCTCCACTTCACCAGGGGTTTTGAGTAAAACATGTTGGTCAGTCATGATAGAGTCAATTCTGTTCCTAGCTTGTCTTTGCTTCATCATAGAAAAAAAAATACTTAGTGTTAGAATCACCAAGCTTAACCCATTCTACCCTAGACTTCTGCCTATAAACACTCTCCTGAACAGACCTACAATACTTGAGCTATTGAATAGCAGTAGCTTCCTGATCCCCTAGAGTGGAAGACTGAGGGTCAGAAGCCATTTGATCTTGTATGTCTAACAAAGCCTGCTGAGCATGATCAATTCTCATTTCAACATTACTAAAAGAATGATGATTAAGCTCTTTAAGCTTAACTTTCAAATTCTTAAATTTCTTCCAAACTCTATTCATAGGACTACCATGAGTGCCACCACTCCAAACCTCATGCACTAAAGTCAGGAAGTCAGGATGAGTAATCAAATGGTTCAAGAACCTAAACGACCTTCCCTTACCTGGAGATGGGGGAAAAATCTCATAAAGAAGGGGAGTGTAATCAGAGAGGGGGGGAGGGAGGTAGACAGCTTCAACATTAGGGAAGTGCAACAACCATTCCAAATTAACCAAACCTCTGTTAATTCTGGTTTGAGTTCTGGGACCACTACGGGCTTTGTCAGACCAGGAGAAATAAGAGCCCTTACTTTTAATCTCAACAAAACCCATATCTTCAATAAAATCTTTGAAGTCTCTAACTTCATAATCAGTGATCTCACTTCCATTAATTCTGTCACCATCCTACAGCACAATGTTGAAATCACCTGTACAAATCCAGGGCAGAGAAACAGGACCAATAACTATAATACCACTCCATAACTCTCTCCTATCATGGATATTGTGCAAACCATAGACAAAAGAAATAGCAACCTGTTTGCTGTAATCAAGAGAACTGACAATGCAATGAATGAACTTAGTGTGAACAGTAAGAACCTCAACATAAAGCCTTTCTCTCTTACCCTCTCTTTTTCCTTCCTACTTATTCCCTTAATAATCCCTTTCCTATTCAAACTCGAATTTTGACTTTTTAAAATAAATTATCCTTTATAAAATAATATGCCCCACTATTTTTAAATCATGAAATAAAATATTTTCAAGATTATTAAATAATAAAAATATATTTTTAATTAAAATCATCCTTTTTGTATTGAGAAAACCCTAAATAATTTATTTCGTATTATTTAAATATTTCAAGAAATACTTATTTAAATTTTAAATACGTATAAAAATACGGGGTATTACAGATTCTATTTATTCTAGGTTCGGATTAGAATGGACTATGTGAACGATTTTGTTCTATTTATATCAATTACAAATTTAGGCTGGGTTGGGTTGGATTATTTTCAAATTCTATCATGTTTAAGGTTAGAACTACTTCTGGATATGAGTCATATTTTGATCAAATTATCTCGGATTTTTTGTCAAGTTGATTTGAAAATCATTTTAAGTTTGGATTATATTGGAAATTAGCTTGTTTACCTCTGGTTTAAATTTGTTTATGTAACGAGAGAAACAAAAGTTAATTGAGGAACAATTTTGGAATCAATGTGTAAATAAAGGAAATCTGAACATCACTCCAATCTTTAAAAGAAGCAATTTTGTGCCCTTTTATTAAAAAAAATAAATGTTTAATTAAAAGAAAATCACTTTGTAAACTGACACTTTTGAAGTGTCAAAATTATCTTTCTTTGCGTAGTAAATTAGATAAATTCCGTATTTACTCCCGGATCTTTCCTCTTCTTCTTCTTTAGTAATTAAGGAGAAGGACGCTACCCCTCTCGATTTTTTGGTCCACTCGAATTCACTCTAGTGAGTTAAAAAAATGGCTAGTTCTTAAAGATATTATTGTTGAAATCATACATAATACTTCCTCTATTTTCTTATAAATGCAACCTACCTTCTTCGGAATGCAACACACCTTTTTTGGCATGCACTTTGAGGAATAGATTAAGTAATTTAAATGGACAAGTTAATCAAAATAATTTATACATGTAGTTTTTAACCCTTTTATATTTTTTGGTGTTGAAATTATTTTGATAATGTAGCTCGTTTACCTACTCTAATCATATCTTAAAAGAGCGTGCCAAAAAGGTGTGTTGCATTTAAAAGAAGATGGAGGAAATATATTTCATTTTGTAACTATTACTTCATAGATTAGAAAGTTACTCTGTATTCCTTCGCATTTTTTTTATGAGTGAAATACGTAGAAATTGAAAAAGGTCAAGTTAATTTATGTGTTAAACAAAGATATAACATTTTGATAGATAAATCAACAATTTTATCAACATTACTACTGGAGAAAATACAAGTTTCTCAACATGAGAAACATATTATGTATCTAAAAGGGGCAAATTTGTCATTTTAGCCAATAAATTGAGTTAAAATTGTAAAATTGTCTAATAAATGGAGAAACTGTATAAGCAAAGTAGAAGAAATTTAATGGAGAAGCATGTATTTCAATGGTAAAATTGAACATGGCACTCGGCTTCAATGGAGGAGGATAACACTCATACCCTTTTTGGGTTAACCATGCCATAAATTTCTCCATTATTTATTAGGGTTTTCGTTTAATTCGGCGGCAAAGCTGCTGAAATTACGATGGTGAAAGTGGTGGTTCACAAGAGGAAAGCTTGAGGACGAAGATGGAAGCGGAGGTGGTGGTTCGTAGGTCGTGGTTCACTGGTTTGTGATTGGAGGAAGAAGATGGAGGTAGGTTGGATGATCTAAGAAAGAAAATGATGAAAGAAGAAAGATGAAAAAAAAGTACAACTATAAATAATAAAATAATAATAAAGTTCGGTTTATTTACATTTAAGCCATTTTAGGATACATAACATGTTTCTCATAGTGAGAAATCAGGGCTGCCTCTTACTACTGTGGGGCTAGCTTTTAACGAAAAAGTCTTTGATTTCTAGTCGTATGTTGAAGCCTAAAATTAATTTTTTTTTTTTTTTTTTTTTTTTTTTACACGGTAAGATCAACTTTGTCCCAACCGAAGGCTCCTATAATCGAAAGTCTGGCTGACAATGCCCGAAGAGGATAGGGGATGGAATTTGTGCCTGATGAGAATCGAACCTCGCACGGTCGCACCTCAAGGATGCAAGGTGACTCCTAAGCCACTGCTCCAAGAGGTCTTTCACGCCTAAAATCAACATAGAAGTGAGTGGGCAAAATTAATCTATTCAAAAAAAAAAAAAAACATAGAAGTGAGCGAGCGAGCATAACAATTGCCTAGGTGGCTCGTCTATCATCACAAATGAAAGCCACTCAAATTCCAGCTACAACAACACAAACAGTTGTTCTTGTTCATTGATCGGGTACCTCAGAACTTCATTAATTCGCCAAAAACACCAAAATCATCTTTCTTCAGATTCGAGCGGACTATTTGTGGTGTCGAAAAATTACCCTTTTTTCTCTCCTTCTCTCTCCTCCAGCAAGAGGGGGTAAGCAATGGCTTGTGTTTCGCGGTCAGTAATATCAGTTGCAACAAATACAAGCTCATTTACATTCAAGAATAATCAATTAAGTAAGAAAATTGGGCGAATTAATGTTTCCAACTTCAAAATTCGAGCTTCTTCCAATGAGTCTGATGATTGCAATGCCGAAGAATGCGCCCCTGATAAAGAGGTTTCTCTTTCTCTCTTTCTCTTTTTAATACCCTTTATTGAATCCTGGATTTATGTATGATGGGTATATCTTAATTTTGCCTTTTATCTTAGTTATGGAGGCTTTTGGATTATTAACATTGTTGAACAAAATGGGGTTTTTCTGTTAAAAAAAAAAGGTGGTGTTTATGGATAAAAAATGAGTGGTTTAGTTCATTGCAATCTCAAATTCTGTGTTTAGTACTATTCAATTTCATAGATGCTGCAATATCCGTTATATACTCGGGTGTGCTTAACTTTTCCCGGATAAAAAAAAAAAAACAAAACTGGGGATTTCATGCTTATGAGTTATGATCTCCATTTTTCTTTGCAATGCAGTTGAATTTCTGCAACAACCTGTTTCACAGGAATATTGTTTAATGTTTTGGTATGTTAACTGTAATGATCAATTCCGACTGTGTAATCTCTATATTGATTTAGTAGGTTTTGTTCAGGATCATTATCGATTTAACTCTTTGCCTTATCGAGTTTTAATGATGTCTGCCTCTTTCCCATGCTCAGTGAGCACCAATTTGTTTTTCTTGCTTTCTTTCTCCCTTATGTTTGTGCTGAAGTTTTGTAAATAAACTGTCATTATATTGTGACAAATCATTTTCTTGGCTACTTTATGATCAGGTAGGAAAGGTTAGTGTGGAATGGTTGGCTGAAGAGAAGACCCAGGTGGTGGGAACATTTCCACCTCGGAAAAAGGGTTGGACCGGGTACATAGAGAAAGACACGGCTGGCCAGACGAATATCTATTCAGTTGAGGTATGTGGTTTTGAGCTACATTGTGCTCTCTTTCTTGCATAGAACTTGTAGCTGGTAATTTAATCATTATACTCATTCACATCTCCAAAAACTGATTATATTTCGTAGAAATAGATTCACCTTTGAATCAGGCTGCTCTTCGACTAGTATGCATCCGTTTCCAAGTGATAAATGCATGCCAATTCATCCTGATTGTTCTAACGAATTAAGTCATGGATAGTACAAATGTACTATGGCTGTCTTCCCTCGTCAATGCAAAATTTCAAAAACATATTGTGAATCATGTACCAGGTTTTCGTTTTCAGAATACATCTTTTTTCCTGAAAGTTGCATTGCTTCTCTTGAAAACTATTCCCTCTATCTCAGAGCTAAATTGACAAAAAGTAATTTGGAATCACTTAACATCCTACTTTGTATAATTTTTCCTATTTATTTGGGAATCATATTGACCAATTACCATCCAGTTTTTTTTCTTATCCTCCTGTACTCCCCACTCTATGATTTGTTAAGAAGATACAAGCCTAAATGGCTAACTTTCATTGTATTAGTTGTGGTGTCGACTCGATTGGAGGATAGCCTCCTTTTCCACTTTGTCAAAAAAAAAAAAGCTCTTGTACAGAACGGGTAAAACTTGTCTGATCATAAGTAATGGAGGATTTTTAAGGTTTTACACAAATCCATAAGCCGCTTCTAAATTTTGCTCATAGAATATGGCATCTTTTTTTGCTTAAAGCTCTTTGGACTCCATTTGTAAATCTGCTTCCATGAACATTCAGCAACTCATGGTCCAGATCTTGCTTACTGTTTTAGCTAAAAATCTAACATTGATAATAATTCTGCAGCCCGTGGTATATGTGGCAGAAAGCGCTATCAGCTCAGGAACTGCAGGTTCTTCTTCTGATGGTGCAGAGAACACGTCAGCTATTGCAGCGTTTCTTGGCCTATTCATTGTTGCAGGTGCCTCATCAATCCTGCTTCAGGTTGGTAAAAATGCGCCCCAAATGCAAACAACAGTCTATTCTGGACCATCACTAAGCTACTATGTAAACAAGTTTAAGCCCACGGAAACCATTGAAGTTTCTGCACCTAGCCCAAGTGAAAGTTCCTCAACCACTGAGTCTAGCCAAAGTGATACCTCCTCTGCAACTGAGTCTCAAACCTCCACCACCGAAGTTCCACCAGTGCCCGTTGAATCTAGAGCTGAGCTAGAGTCTTCTGTTTCAAATGAAGAGAATGTCTCTTAGATAAAATTATCTTGCTACTCGATACTGTATAATTCTGCAATTTTTTTAGTTCTGTAAAGCAACTTCTACTACAGATGATACTCGTATATTTCATAATATAGAGATCTTCACTTAACCAACACTAATGAGATTTAGAAGACTATTGGCATTCTTGATGTGCAATTTGGAGGCATTTTTGTGCTTGGCACGACTGTGCTCCACTACTCTTCCCCGTCCACTATGTGTGTTACAGATACTGCGATATCTAAAAATGGAAAATTGTTTTCTAAATCAATGTTTATAATCAATGTTTATACAAGAATATAAAAGTAAATAGTAACTATATTTGTATACTCAAAATTTTTTACACTTATAATTTGCTGTTTTATTTTACCAAAATGTCAAAAACAAAAATTTACATGATGATCCCTATCTTGTACAAACACATGCTATTTTCTCCAACCCAAGATCTATATTCTTATTACATATACATAATACTCCTGAGAGAAATCTACAACAGTATATTATTGATTTACACAATTCCATGCAATTTTCAGATGAAATGTGGAAGTCCATGCCCTCCACCGTTTGGGTCAGGAAAGGAAAGAGTCCTAAAATTATTGTAAATCCCAAGGCTGTCATTATTTCCAAGAGCCTCAATACCTTTGTTGACATTACTCTTTGAATCATGAGCATATCCTCCACCATTGGGTTCCAAAGACATACACGTGCAATAATAAACCAATTTGCAACCTGCTTTCATTGTAAGATTAAGAGTACCAAAATGTTAGTTTAAGTTATACACTTATACATCAATAAGAATATATCATCATAGTTTTAGACTCTGCATTCAAATGAAATTTATGTAACTCATAAAAATTAAACTAATATGCACGGTTGCAAAAGGTAAAGACAGAAAGACACTTGTTTGCCGTTGAATTTAGTGTATCACACCTGAATTAAGAGGTTCTTCAATATAAATTGTCCGCATTCTGCTTTCAGTGTGCTTTTAGTGGGCAGTAGACAACTACGAAGATCAATTCTGCTTTAATATTTTAAGTAAGCCTTAGCCTACTTGTTCTCCCATTTTAATCCTTTTTTCCTCTCGATTAATTTGAGAAAGTCTCCTACTTTCCTTGGCGCGCTCTAATTGTAATCTTCAAGAGCTACTATTTACCCCTCTTACCCCCATATATACTACCTTCCTCGTTTCAAATCCATGTAATACTCGACACTCCAATCTTCCAATGTGAGGTATGGAGACTATGGACCTGTAAAAGTGCATATCTTCACCTCAATTACAGTCTATTAAGGAATTTTGCTCCCTCCTCTCTGCATGGCATATCTTTACTCTCGCTTTTTCACAACATTTTTTCTCCCCTTATTGTTGAAGTCATTTCCTCTCTCTTCCCCCTATATATCTGCATTCCTCTTTCTCTAGGACACTTTTTTTATGGCTTTTGATATTATAAGCCTCAGCTTACTTGTTCTCCCATTTCACTCCTTTTTTCCTCTCAAATCTCTCACATTTTTTTTATAATCATGCAAATTTGAGAGAGTCTCTTCCTACTTCCTTATCTCTCTCTAATTCTAATATTCAAGTGTTGCTATTCACCCCTCCATATCCCAAGCTAGCAAAAAATCTTTAGCAAAACCAAAAATCTCAGCTTTGAACCAAATTTAAAATATTTAAACCTGTAACAAACTTACTGAGCAGCAGGAGCCCATTCTCAATACACAACACTCCTCTCTTCTCGATTGAAACCATATTTCAAGTGTCCTATAAGTAAGCATAAACAATATGAATACGTAAGTAATGTTTCCACGTGCCTAGCCACATGGTGCAAATGGTGGCAGCACAAACAAGCTATCAGCAAGAACTGTACATTCTTGACTTATTACAGCACACTAGCACAGAACATCGTTTACAGTTGAGGCATTAACTGAATACTTCAAACATATAACAGCATATACTATGTGTATAATAAAAAGTATAGTGTTTTTTACATGCAAGCAGTAATACTATATATCAGAACTGGGTCAAAGGGGACATAAGAACAAGGAAAAAAAAGGCATCATATATAACAGGGTGCAGGTGCCAAACTAGTTTCAAACAGTCATACACCTTCAAATGAGATAAATGAAAAATAATCACGCATGCCTTTATAACAATCTATCCAAGAATTTATAGTGATCATAACCGCTAATAGAACTCATAGAAGTATAAGAAGAAAACTAAAAGCAGAGTATCTACTATCACAAGAGAGTAATTCCTTGAGACAAAACATACAAAAGTAACCGGTGAAACTAAAAATGGGAATCACGGCTTAGACATACTACACCAGAAACACACTTGTGACAGATTACAGTAAAATCCAAAGCAAATGGCGCACACTATAAGTTCTGACAAAAGATACATATACAAAACACCATTTATAACAAATTTCACCTTTGAAGAACAAATACTGAGAATATAAATAGCAAAAAGGGATCGTTTCAAGAAAAATACAATTGCTAATCTGATAAAATCAAGAATAAGAGGAAAATGTAGCAGCAAATTCAGCAATACATTACAAAGATGAGATGGCTGGCCAAATTCTGAAAAAACTTTGATATGGTAGTATTTGGCACAATTTGTCCTTGACTAAGCGAGTTTGCAGATGTCTTCATAATCCACAGCTTGAAGAACTCTTCCATCATATAGACCCTTCTCTATCTGGACCTTGGCACAATATTTGTCAGTATTAATGGAGAGAAACCTAGCATTCATTCCTCGATAAGCCCCGTTAACTATCTTCACCAAACCGCCAATCTGTGGAATAACTGTCTCAAGCTCTGCTTGATCCACTCTAAGCACATGTTTGGTGTCAAGCATCTCAATTTCACCTAAATATTTCTCAATAACCTTCTTGACAACCCCCTTCTTCTTATAACACCCTTTTTCTGCCAATTTCTTGCTCATAACCTTTACAACTATTCCCTCACACACCCAATAATCCTTCCAATTATGACGTTCCTTAACCTTCTCATCCTCCTTGATCATATCCTCCAAAGCAGACTTAACAGCTGCATTACCATCACCATATTTAGTTCTCTTTTTCGCTTTCTCCCCTTCCACAACATCCTCAAACACAACCCTCGTTCCCTCCCCTCTCTCCTTCCCAGCCCCGGGATTCGACAACCCACCTCCAAGTGCAAATGCTACTTTCCCACCTGGCAATTCCTTTTCCTCACCCTCACCCTCATTTTCCGCAATAGGCATCAACTGTTCTGCCTGCTCAATCTGCTTCATGATCTCCCTCTCCTTCTTCTCATCCTCCGCCAAATCCGCCTTAATCCGCTTATTCTTCATCCTATCCTTAAAAAGAGTCTCGGAATCTCTATCGATATAAGTAATGAACCACCCTTTGGGAGTCTCATCAACCTTACACTTCCCAGTCCTACCCAAATGCTTAACAAACTCAGTCAAACTCAACCACTTAGTAGAATTCATATGAACATGATGTCTATCAGCTATATACTCATTATAAGCAACAGTAGCAGCAATCCTACTAAACCTATGACTCCTTTTCATATGATCAAGAAACGTACTTTTGAATTCCTCCGAATACCCATCTACGATACGATCTGGGTTTTGCCCAAAAATCTGCATTTGTCTCTGATGAGACTCGCTCATACAATGACACTTGAACCCGTTCTCGTCTCGGCATTGTTTTTGACACATTTGACAATACCATCGAAGTTTCTGGAGACCATCCGCTTTGATGATTTGCGATTGCTTTCGGAGTTAGAAATTCGTTCTTTCCCATTCAGTGGCGTCTCCGGGATTTCCAAAGAGGGGGTTCAAAACTTCGGAAGTTCAGAATCATAATTAACAAAGAAACAAAAATATAATAACTAAATATTCAGTACATAAGTTTAAATCATGGATTGCAAATAGATTACACAATACAAATAGAAAAAAAAATTACAGAAGCATTCTTCGAGATTCCTAAAAGGCAGAGAATAATTTGAAAAGAATTTTTGACTCTTTTTTATTTTCCTAATATTTTTTTTAATATTATTATTAATATGTATATTTTGGCTGAACTGTTTTTTTTTTTTAATAAATGATGAATTATTGCTTAATGGCTTAAGTATTAGTGATTTTAGTTTGGTCTTCTCAATCTTGTTTTATTTGTATTTAATGACATATCATCCTGATTGTTTAGAAAAGAATTAGGTTCTTCTGTATAATTGGGATTGGCTTATATTATGCCTTAAGTTAACTTTGAACCTAACATTTTTTAATGAACATTGACAATATGTCCATATCTAAATAATAATGCTAGCTGATCAGCATCCTTCTGTAATAATATCTGTCCATTTCACTCTAGCATTTTTGAATTAGCAGCAGGCCCGTCCCTGAGGCAGGGCAGGAGGGGCGGCCGCCCTAGGCCCAGGGAAAAGAGATTTGATTTCATATTGAATTATCTCAAAAAATACATAATTTTAGGGATACTTGATTCAATAATCAAATTACGCTCATAATTTTCTTTTCTTTTGGATATGATGTTTCATAATCTAAGCATTTGCGAACCCTAAACTCAAAGCACTGATAATTAAATTAGATTAGATCAAATATAAACCCTAGATTGTGAAATTGATGTGATGATAACAACAACAAACAACTTACCTTAGAAGCTGCTTCGATGGGGGATACAAGAATTAGATTCAACGGAGAACGCTTCAATGGAGAACGTTGAGTGCGCTTCAATGACAAAACTCAGAGAGGTAGGCAATAGGAATGGAGGCCTTTAAAAGGCATGACCCGCCATAGTTATAATATGGGTTAGATCGATCTGATAAATAAATGGAGCGGGTCTTTATATAATCGTCTAATTACGAGACATGTGGGCTTTATAAAGGTTTTATGTAAATATGTTTTAAATATTTCCATACACCAAAGCTTGTATCAATTCTTTGTAAAAATTTAGATTTTTTTTTTAAAAAAAAAACAGCTGAAATTACATTAATTAAACTGAGTATACAACAAACAAATGGACAATAAGTAACATAAGTTACTTCACTTAAAAAAAAAAAGAAGTAACATAAGTTATTATTCGCATAAGAAGCCCTTACACGATATCAATTAAGGTCATTAACGATATTTACCTTTTAGCTATTACAACGAGTGAGGACAACGCATATAAGGCTTACCAATTTACATTTAAACATGCGATGAGACTATTGATAGAACGAGGGAAGTTGGTGATGATGTTTCGTGTTGTGCAAGGTATTTTCTAACATACAATTAAAAGTCTATGAATGTTGCTGAAATGACGGAGACAACCCAAAATCAGTATGTCTTACCCTAAGGACCCCAATCATTCAAATGGATGAAATCCTCTTGAGATCTATGTTTCATACATGTCAATCACATTTCTTTTTGATCTGACAAAACCATATCTTATACTCCCTCCGTCCCATAATATAGTTCGTATAGTGTTTTTTTCACGATATTTAAGAAATGGGAGGAGAATTGGAAAAGAACTAGACAAAAAGTATATGGCAAGTTGATAATTTAAGGGGAAAAGGTGAAAAGTTCAATTATAGACAAAAGTTAGAGAGAGAAAGTGAAAAAAGTACAATGCAAGCGGATAAGTTAAGGGTAAATTAGAAAGTTCAATGAATAAAGTAAAAAATAAGGGTATAATGGTCTTTACATACTATTCAAAAATAGAAACAGGAACAACATTTTGGGTCTCTAAAATAGGAAAACAAAAACTATATTGTGAGGCAGGGAGTATATATTCTCATACAAGGTCATGATGTTGTAATGACTTTTACCGATATCACATACAAATGGGTTTAACGACACTTACTACGGGTTTATGGAAATCTGAAATTGAAATTTTGCTACATCTCCCAACACACATTAGTCACACCACTTCCATTAAAGGAATACATTTTTATTAAAACTAAATAGATTAAAAAGGGCAATTTCAAGAGTCAAACGACTCCATTTCATCCTCCAATTTACCCTGAATTCGACTTGTCTTCGCTTTTCGATCTATTATATTGGGTGCTTCCAAAATCTAAGTTTTAATTTTTAGAAAAATTCACTTTAATTTATTAATCCGAATTTTCAGCAATTTACTCTCAATAATCCCAACTTACATTAATTAGGGAACACTATGAACTTTTGGGTTGATTTTCTTCCATTAGGTCGATTTACCAGTGACTTAAAGAAAGGGTGATTTTTATTTTGTAAAAGCCATGTGTGATGTGTGGCAACATAATTGATCCAAATTTTTTTGTAAAAAAAAGAAAAAAAAAATTAAAAACCCTTCCCAGCCAGTTACCATCCTTCCTCCCCTTAGCCCCAACCCCCAACCCGAACCGAAATTCGACCGCCCGCCTCCCCTAGCAACCGATAACAGCTGGTCGGCCCTTCCCTACCCCTAAAACCACTCGGGCAACCCACCTACACCATTGAAACCACCCCCCTTCCCCCATCCCCCAAATAGCCCCTCCCTTCTCAGGTCAATGAAACCGCCCACCTCCCTTCCCTTGTCGTTGAAACGACCGATTTTTTAGCTCCCTCAATTGGAGATTATTGCTAAGAAATTAAATGTAGTTGTGTTAGTCAAGGTTTTTGTGGTAGATTTTTTTAGATTGTTTTTTACAAAAAAAATAAATAAATAAATGGTAGTTAGTTGTTCTCTAAGTAGTCATTATAATGGTAGTTGTTGGTAAAATTTTCTTAAATTTTCACAAAATTACCCTATATCTAAAGTATAATACTCCCTTCTTCACTTTAGGAAATTTTTTAGTTATGCAATTTTATTTTGACAATAATTATTTTTACGATATAGGAGAATCGAGTGAGATGATTTTTAGTGGTTATGGCTATTCATCATAATTTTATTTGGTATGTATGCATGTATGAATTTTTTAATATTCGCATAGTATCTTATTGGGTATTTTATATACTTTGAAAATCAAAGTGACATCATTATAAAAACATTATGATTCTTGGATTGTTTGATAAATTCTATTTAATGACTTGTTTACAAGCATGATAAGAAGTGATAATTTAATTATGAGATGATACATTTATTAAAAGTGAACTAAATCATATAATTATATATTTATAAGTAACAAGAAAAAATTAATGTAACCTTAATTCTATTTTATAAGAAAAAACTACATTTATTATTTATGAACGTGATTATTATTGATTTCTCACTCATATTTATAGATTGGGACAAGTAAGTAAATTTAATACTCTTTCATAGAATGAGTCGAGTCAAAGAAGGATGCCAATGTAGAAGTCTAATTATGCACATTTTGTGTGTGTCATAAGCATGTAATAAATTGATTAATCACAAAATTAAGGGGCGAATGCAATAAATTATTACATATAACTATTTAAAAATATGATATTCTAACGAATAAATCACAAAAGAAATTCAAAAGAGGTGTGTGAATAGTGAAAAAGTGTAAATAAAATAATTAAAATAACGGATGAAGTAATTAACAAATTACGTAAACTTATTTATTAATTAACAAACTACATAAATATTTATAATTATAAAAACAAATGATTTATTCAACAAAAGTATTTTATTTTGCCCCGGGCCACTAAAATATTAGAAACGGCTATGGACCCATGGCATATGACAAAAGGGGGCTACCATGTTATGTTTATTCATAAATCTCCAATCATATTATATGTATGTATTAAACAATTTCTCAATAATTGACTTCCAAATCGCAAAAAATTAAACAAAAGAATCAATGGTATAAAACCAAGTACAAATCTAATATTAAAATAATAACAATAACAAATATACGATTAAAGAAAAGTCTCGAATCATCAAGAAAAAACTGATTAAACAACAACATACAATTTCAAACTACGATCAACACTAAAATATCTCCAAATGTTCATCAAATAAACAAATCAATGGCTTAAACTTATGATATTAAAAATCAAAATCTACCATAATTGCATGCAAAGATGACAAAATCAATTCAAGAAAACCAGAAAAAAGTTGAATAGAAATCGAAACAAACCTGGAAATTGAGAAAATGAAAAGAGTGCAAGTTTCGACGAAATGGCGGAAGTAATGGTGGAAGAAAGCGGAGGAGAGTAGTGACGGAAGATTAACAGCGGAGGAGAGAGAAAATGAGGAGCATTCGATGTTGGATTTTATTAATAGAGAGTACGCCTTGTTGGACAACAGGACGTTGTATCTCATCAACAGGCAATAAGTCATACGAATGAGGCTATTGACACTTTAACACTAACGTTACTAAAGCGTCATAATTTCCCCACTCGGGCCTAATTGGGACATCTCTCAACTAACAGCCCAAGTTATTGAAGACGAAAATGTTAATAACCTTCGAAGAGAGAGAGAATGAAAAGTGTGAAAATGATGGGAGATTTTGGTCAATCTTTATGTTTTATCAAAGAGAGAAATGTGAGTATGAAAGGGAGCAATCAAGCAAGGGATGTTGTTATTACGTGGATTTGATCTAGTATTTATCGACTTATCGGGCCCTGAAGAATATAGGTAAGGAGAATGCGTTTTATCGAATTGGAATTTTTTACATATTAACCTTGTCAATTATGAAAATTGGAGTGTAACCCTTATCACTGGACTGAGTAGTATCTGGTATCTCACCCATCATGTTTTCATATTTAAATTGAATCTTGAGATATTTTAATAATTTTAGAGAATAGTAACATACTACATCCGTTTCAAATTAATTACATTATACTAAAGGCGAAATTGAGAGGGACACTTGGCAACATAATGTAAAAAGTTTTCCCTCCGAAATTACTTACTAAGAAAAACTTATTATTACATGAAAATAAGGTTTGTATCTAAATTATGGCTTTTACTTTGTACAAAATCTAAAATAAACTTCCTTAAATATTAAATTGTCCATAATAACTTTTACATGTTTAATTATTTCTTTCACATATATTTCATACTTTTTAAATACTGAGTTAATTCATAATATTTTATATCAGTTCATTTTGGTAAATTTATCGTCACTGTAATAATTTAACAACCGTGCAATGCACGGAGTTTAATCTAGTTATATACTACGATTAAACATTTTCTAATCACATCTTATGCCAAATCGTTGTAAATAATTTGAAATGGAGGTAATATTAAATCTTACATATTCTTCTGGAATGCTATTTGACTGCTAGCTAATGATCATATTTGAATAAAGACTATCACGCTATCAAATGATATCAATAACTAGTAGAGATTACCAACTCTATACACAAGCATAATAGCAACTAAAACAATTACTCTGCATCACATCAATTGTATGGACTATGGAGTAAACCATTTGGTTAGTTGCTGCCCAGACTCCCAAGATGGCAAGATTGATTTTCAACAGTAGAGAAACTATTAGGCGTTTCAAAGGGAGTTTAACAATGCATTTGCTAGTGCATAACAAGGGGCATTTACGTAATTAAATTTATGCATGGATAAATGCATATCCTAAATTAGAGTAGTATCATTGGATTATAAAATGTTACAATTGAATATTTAGTGGTACTATATATGTATTCAGTGGCATTGACAGAGCTATTTTGGTGCATGGTGGGTCACGGGACCCACTATTAATTTTAAAAAAAATGAAAGTATAATTTATTTGATGAAAAAAATGATGTTTAAGATTAATTACTATCAATAAAAATATAGATTAATTATAAATTGGATTGTTTAATCTAATTTATACGGAGTATATGTAATTATCTACTAGTTTGACAAAATCAGATTGTTTAATTGGTTAGACTATGTGTTTTCTCGGTTCCTTAATATTCTTTTCGTCATGTACTGTGCATTATTGGACGTTCCCCTTCATTTATTTTTGTTTCCGTTTATAAAAAATGGTATATGATAAATCCAAGTTTATATCTAATTTTGCATAATATCAAATTGAAGAGATTGATTCTTATTTTACACCTGGATACAAAGTACACCCAATAATATCTTTCATAAAAAATGATATATAATATACTTCCATCTTTATCTCTGATTTTGTATAATATCAAATAAAGAGATAGCTTTTTAAATACACCCGGCCTGATTCAAAGTGCACCCAATTATATATTTTTTTTGCTCATTTTTGATGAAATTTTAATAAAAAGGAATGAAGGTGGTGATATTTAGAGAATAAATCTTTGTGAAATACAAGTATTGATTTTTATTTTTGTAAATTATGCATTATTATTGATTAATACTCCGTATGTCGTTGAAGGACGGTGTGTGGTGAATTGATGACCTACCATCCGTAAAATCCTTGATCAACCACTGTTCAGTGGCACTAAATGTACTCCCTTCGTGTTTTCATAAGTGTTACACTTATCAAATGTGTCCGTGTTTTAATAAGTGTTACACTTCCTTTTTAATATTATATTTTAATATTATATAATAATATAATATTAAAAAGGAAGTGTATTTGTTATTATATCTTTTTCTTTTTTATAACCCTACCCAAACTCACTACTATTTTTTTTATTATTATTTCTTTCCTCTCACATCATTACTTTTCAAAACACTATTAACCTCCCTATCTTTCTTTTACAATTTTTAAATGCCCCAACTACTCCAATTATCCTTTATTTTATTTAAGTTAATTAAATTGCCTAAAACTATAAATGTAACATTTATTAAAACAAAGAGAGAGTATGCATATATAGTATTTGCAACGATTACTCGATTAGACATATGTCAAATCATTGCAAATAATAAGAAACAGATGTAGTATAAGTTTCCAATGGTACAATTAGAATGTTTATTCAGAAGAAAAAAAAAATGTAATCTCCATCACATGATGGTAATCTAATTAAAAAAAATAAGTGGATCCACCGACCTACCTCTTTCTTCCATGTGCTTTCACATTATTTTATTATTTATTATACATTTGCAAATACAGATCAATACTGCATTTATACTTCCTCGAGAAACTATAGTTTATTCAAAACTTCAGCTGGAGTGTAAATTGGTAAATCCAAAGTTCCAAGTATTACACATAACACCAAAAATAACGAGTACTACACAGTTATTGAAGAATAGAATGAGTACATTACTTGTTCTATTGTACTCAACAAGACTACAAGTTAATAAAACAAGGACATTGGACAGAGACAACGAAAAATTAACTTTATATTCCCCGTTCTTAAAGATTATCCCGCTTAATCTTTTCACAGTCTTCAATGTACATCTTTCAGCAACAACATCAGAAAAGGGTGAGAAAATGTGGTAAGCAATCTAAGAATTACCAAACCTGTTCAGTAAACTTGCAACCACAGAAGACCAGTCCAATAGTAGATTACCAGAGAACTAAAATTACATAACAAGAGGAAACAACTTCAATAAACTGTGATCGTATTACAATCTTAACTCCTTAATGCTTATGCTTGAATCTCATCCCAACAGTAACACAAATGGCGAAACACTCAACCACTTCAGGTCAAGGTTTAAGGCTACACGGAAGATTATCATCATATAAATATAATAAATGTGCAGGCTATGGAGATATATTCTGCAAGGACCTGCTGTAGATGATGGTCTTAAACCTCAGTGGTTATTTGGGGTTGCACCCTTTTTTTTTTTTACAGGTATAGTCATATTGAGTTTGAAAAATCTTAAGAGGGATACACACACTATATACAGCAGTAAAAAGGAACTCAGGTTACGTCAAGGATTCAGCATTAATCAACTTCAGCTATGCAGCTTCAAGCTGATGACTTGTATGGTTCCTTGAGGTTCCTGAACTGTCAATAGGGTCTTCAGTCTGACTTTCAAGCTTAAGATCTACAATGGCAGCACACAATGAATCTGGGGTAACTGAAACCCCTGGATTTCTTATTGCATCATCCTCAGATTTAGATGTAGAAACCTCAAGGTTTTCATCTCTAATTTGTGACTCAAGCTTCTTTAGCTCCTCCTCGATATCTTCATCCTCCACAGCTGTATATGATGTTGATTCTGAAACAAGAGACATCAGATCTAGAATAAGCATAATTGACAATATGTCCTAGTAACTACTCACAATCTTACTATCAGTCACTCATAAAGACCATTATTAGAATAATATTCAATTTTTAGGAGTTCAGTTATCCAGTCACCTAGGATATTGTGGATGTTTTCTTGAGAATCCTTGAAGTCATCAAGTTCTTGCAGACACAATTGAACTTTTTCAACTTCCACTCTGTTCTCCTTGAGAGCCCAAGCACCAAGCTGGATAGCTTCAGACACCTGACATAAAAGATAAGACATATCTCATTCAACTGAAAAGGACAATATCATAATCACTCATATACTTCGTATGATTGAAGTGAGTTCCAAACTTCAGTCACCTAAAAATTGACAAAGTAAATAAAAAGGACCTTATTTGCAGATTCTGCATCTGTAATAGCTCGGAGTACTTCCTCCACTCTGTTGATGAATGGTGTGAGTTTTTCTCTACTCTCAGAAGCTAGCTTCAATTGCCTTGCAATCCTCAGAGCTAATTTCTTGTCTCCAGTTCCCAATGCAGCTAAAGTAGATTTTCTGGATCTGTAAGTGAAAATCACTGAAGGATTAAAAAAATTGTGGTCTGAACAAGAATGCATTTGAAAAATTTATGAACAAAATTTTAGATCCAAGGCAAAGATAAAATGGCCACTCTTCAGACATAAAGATCAAGCCACATCCATTTTGGCTTCAATGTTATTGAGTACTCTAGCTTAAACAAAAGTTTCTAGGGCAAACATTGTATTAATGCACATTTGAAAAAGTTCATTCAAAATATTAAGGGTTGTTTGGACAAGGATAGTTGAAGATCTAAAGCCGTCTCCTTTCTGTGAGTTTTCCTTTACAATTTTTTTTTTTCATTCCTTTTCTCCCCTCTGCCTAATATATTTGGGGAAAATAATCCTGATCACTGCTCCACTTCCACTGCCTACCCAATAACCATATTATAACTACATCTGGAGCAACCGTTACTCCGCCAACTCGCATGCAAATCTCTCCACAAAAGCAACATAACCAGTAACCACCAGTATTCAAGCACATGTCTACAGCCCCATCAATACCACCAAAATCACTCTTAATATAAAGGGGATTCCTCTGTTTTAAATTTAAGACTAAGAAATTAAAGAGGACTATGATTTCAATCTCCCTTTGAACTATTCATAGGATAATTAAAATATATCCCATAATTGTTTCCACTCTTTAGCCTAAAATTCTATTCCTTCACTTAAAGTAACCAAAAAGCTCTTTTCATTCCTTGTCTATATCCACAACCAGGGGAAACCATTGATTATTATTCCAAGAGCCCTAAATCTCCAAACCCATTATTTCCAGCTTTTTGGATGAATTTCTTGAAACTGGGGGACTAAGCGTGAATGGCAAAAAACTGGATATTTTAAAGTTGCAGATGCTTTTATCTTATGAGAACCAGTCAACCACAATCACAATATAGAATAACAAAAGAAAAAAATTAGAGAAAAACTGCAGGGAAATTAATAAAACAATCTTTTATCACATCTAAGAAAAGCAGATTAAGAAGCAAAACAAAGATAGAGGATAACGTCCAAAAACTTTAACGAGGACCTAAAAAACTAAAAAAAAACTTTGAAGATTTATGACATGCACAAGTTATACGGAATAGCCAGGAATATCCAAAGCAATCATAGGCATTAAACATCAATCACTAGTTACGGAATAATCCCTTCAACATAATAGGAAGTAGATATTGGTATATATCCCAAACAAAGTAAGGTGACAACTATGCAATAATCCGTTCAAGATAGGTTGACAAAATGATAGCCAATTAAACCACACCCACAAAAGGCTAGCACAAGAAGCTGAAATTCATCAAGCTCACGCAGATAGAGTATCAGAGTAATACCTTTCATACTGTTCATCAATGACAACAAGTTGTTTCTGAAGCTCTTCCAGGGTCCAAACCAATTGCAAAATAGCTGAATCTGTACTTGGAATACTAGATGCAGTGGCAGAAGAGAGAGACACTTTTACACCCTGTAACAGGAATAAGCACATCAATTCACTTTCTTCATTATAAAGCAACTTGCACCAAAGCAAACAAGAAAAAAGATATTTACCATTGCCAAATAAATGATCTGGAAAAACAGTTGGAACCAAAGCACTATTACAAAAACACTTCTAACAAGGAACCTTAGCCCTTAGGTGATCTACCCTGAAAATTTTATTAATGACAAAGTAGTTTGCCTAGTTTTAAAAGATGCCAATATTTTTACAAAACTAGCTAGTTTGCCTAGTTTTCCCCAATACAAAACCCCAAGGAAGTAATAAGAAAGAAAAATTAAAAATAAAAAATTAAAGCTACCAATACATATCTCCCTTCTCACAACTTCCCCAAAGCAATGACCCAATACTTGCTAGTAAACGAACAAAGCAAAGACTAGCTTGTGACCCACCCAACAGCCAAAAATTGTTTACTAGCTAATCTCTCTAATTAAATGCTTATCATCAAAGCTTTGCAACCATGGCCAAATGAAAATACCTCCTACTTCCAATCTTATTTCAATTAACCCTCTCTTGTTTCTCACCTCTTGTAATATCTCTTTGTCACAAGCTCATAACCAACATTCGCTTTGTATTGGATATGGAGAAGTGATTAGATTTACAATGGATTAGATAATGAATTGGAAATTTTACTAGAACAATCCCAATACTTTCACTATTCCCATAATAATCGAAACTCTACATAAACCATGTAGTATGCCATAGAGACCACGTGGCACTTAATGATTAGCAACCAGAATTTATCTAAACTTAATTCCTTTAAACGAGCTACCCAAAGACCTGTCTCTCATTCTCCTCCCCCAATCAAACCAACCCCTGAGTTCCATATTTATAGGTCAAGCCATTAAACAAAGTCACTGATCAACTCCAATAATAAACTAAGTCACTGATCAACTCCAATAATAAACTTCAATACATGCTAAGATTCCAATATCTCCTACTTTTCAATTAAAAAAATCATACAAATACCTCCACTCACTCTTATCACATTACTATGCTGTTTAAATAGCAACAAATAACCCAACCACAACTTATCTCCTAAAACTCTATGCAATAATATGTGTTCAAACTGATGTTGGACAAGAGGCATATTAGAGAGGAAGGTGATAAGGCCGTAAGGGTGGGGTGGGGGGCAAAGGTGGCTAGGATGGGTAAGGATGGAGCTCAGTTGGGCACTAACTTGGTACAAAATTTTATAATCGGTTTATCAAGTTACCACTTGGCATTATTTGGAGAAGGCACCCCCCTCCATATAAGTTTTTTTTTTTTTTTAAAAAAAAAAAAAACACAATTATTCTAGATATTTCTAGATTGATCAAAGTTGGGATTATTATGACAAGACTAGCAATAGTAGGAAAAAATCATGCAAATATTTCCTTAATTATTTTGGAAATCAGAATTTAAATTAAAATTAGAGGGATTTGCACCCATGTGATCTTTGATCTTATTCATAGTTTCTTAAGGAATCTTCCTTAATAAACTCTCCTCTGAATCCTCACCAGAAACAATAAAAAAATGTTTTCCTGTCCTGACCCCTGAATTCCTTCCTCTAAATTCTCACCAGTAACAATAAAAATGTTTTCCTATCCTGACCCCTGAATTCCTTATCTATGATCAATTGCAAAGAACAATTTTAGCATGAGCAATGCCTATTGTGTAAGACAACACACAATCTGAACCGTGTTGTGGTACCATACCTGAATTAATGAAAATGTTTTATCCCTTAAAAGTTTCATAGCTATCATTTCTTATGAGATTATCACTACCAATGACATCTACTGCAAGGGCACTAGTTCTATCCAGTTTCAATGTGTGATTATAATGGGAAAACAAAAAATTTCAAGTATACATTGAAAGTTTGAGCTGCAAGTGAGATAATTTGAGAACATACCTCTATCAACTCTCCATTTCTTTTGACTGAAAGATATCTTGCTTTTCCAAGTCCAGACATGTAGCTTAACACTGCATATGCTTCACTGTGCTCCCTAAATAGACTTCCAAACTTCCTCATTGTTATGATGCATGAAGATGTCCAGTGAGTTTCTGATAATGCTTTTATGACCTCAGTAGCTTTATCCTAACACCCAAAAAGGTTCCGGAAAAGGATTGGTTCCACACTCCATATAAACACTAGTATTAGAAATATTATTCGTATGAATTGGTCATAAGTCATAACATAAGGTTCATGGTAACTGAAAAACAATTAATCTATGATATAGTAGACTGCACACAAACCTCCAGCATCACTCGAAGAATGAGACGATCATTGAGAATATCACTTGAATTTAATGTTCTAAAGGCAATGGGGAAATGAATATATTTTTTCAGCAGCTGAGATAGTCGTCCACTGGTTGGATCTCCAAGGTCAGTAGTTCGCAAAACATCACCAGCTTTGTACATTTCAAGCTGAAAATTCAAACAAAAATGATGTAAGGCTAGATATGTTATAAAATACAAAGATATTACCAAAATTAAACTGATTTAAGAAATTTGACAAATTGTTTGAACATCACAAAATAGTACGCGAAATTATAATTTTCAAACCAAAGGGAATTATAAAAAGGTTGGGCAACACCTAGAACAGTGAGGAGCCAACCTAAAAAAGGAGGGAGAACTAGTCTAGGGGTCTACTCTTATGATGGAGTCAGTAAGAGTTGAGCCAGCATATAATTAATAACAAGCTTAACATTGAGCAATGCATAAAGTTGTATACAAAATTTATAAAAAATAAAAACATAAAAAAAATAAAAGAATAAATAAAAATCCCAAATTATGTTATAATAACTAATAAATGTTGCAACAAGGGGAAATCCGTTCAAAACATTACACCACAGCCAAACTATACAAATATATATGGGATGGAGTGAGTATCTATCTATTAACGTATATGTAAATTCTTGATATTTGAATAACACAGATGGTGGAAAGGACTACATTTGAATGTATCATTCAGTAGAGACAGGTCGACAGAGGCATATTTTTGGATTTTAGGAGCCTACTATGAACCCCAATTTTCATTTGCTCGGAAAGTGTACCGAAATTTTTTTAAGTCAACATCGTTATTAGACGATACGTATGATGCATATGGAACTATCGAAGAGCTTGAACTTCTCACTGAAGCATTTCAAAGGTTTGAAATTTTTAAACCCCGCATAAAGTGTTGCTCAATTTGTCTCACCATGATATTAAGTCATTGTAATTAAGTTTCAATGATTAACAACTTACCAACTTTGATCTTCTTCTCGAAGAAGGTGAACTTAATTTTACTATTTAAGATTAGGCATTTAAACCACATTTGCAATAATTATTAAGAGTATAATGTATAATTAAAATTCAGGCCATGGAGCAAAAGTTGCATGGAAGAACTCCCGGAGCACGTAAAGTGGTCATATTATGCTATGGTTGAAGCTTGTGAAGAAGCTGAGGAAGATCTTGCCAAAGAAGGAAGATCATCTTTTGTCAATTATACAAGAGATCAGGTCCACCATGCATTCTTCAAAGATCAAATTATCTTCTAATTTTATTTTTTCTCACCTTATTTCGGTACCAAAATAAAATCATAGCAGACCTAATCTCTTATTTGCGGATCTTTATCACTATATATTTTTAATTTTGTGGTGAAAAACATTATGAAAATTACATATTTGAAAATTACACATTAAATAATACAAAATTAATAAGACATTATTTGATAGGGGTTTTTTCCTTATAAAATAATGTACATATAGTAGGTCAAAGTTTAGTCAATTCAGATATTAATTTCCATCTACTTTATTTTTATTATTTATTTGAATAAGTCAAAAGGACGATACATATTACAAATGACGGAAGAGTGATTTTAGCCTATGATGATCTGCGAGTAAGCCAAGATCTCATTATGGATTTTTTCTTTTATCTAATTCAGATGAAAACTTTATCCAAAGCCTATATTCAAGAGGTAAGATGGTGCCATGAAAAATATGTTCCTACATATTATGAGTATATGAAGAAGATTGCCCTGGTGACCTCTCCATACCCTCATGGAATAGTTGCCTCATTACTTGGCATGGGAGAGATTGCATCGAAGGAAGTATTTGAATGGGCATGTCAAAATCCTATGCCTGATATCATAAAAGCTGCATCTACAATCATAAGACTCATGAATGACATAGGTGGCCACAAGGTACATACCATCTATAACAATTACTACCTCAGCTTCTTTTTATTTGCAATAACTGAATTTTTATGCCTCGCATAAAATACACCAGTGTTGCAAATAAAAAGAAACTGAGGTAGAGCTTAATTTAAACAACATACTCAGTATTAGTACAATTTTATACATACTATGAGGTAAACCCTAGTGATTTGCTACCGTAACAATTGTGTTCGTTTTTGAATTGGGGCTTTGGAGCAGTTTGAGCAACAGAGGAAGCATCTCGCGTCAGCTGTGCAATGCTTGATGGAGAAGCATGGGTTGTTAGAGGAGGAAGCAAATGAGAAGTTAAAAGAAGAAGTTGAGGATGCTTGGAAAGTTATTAATCAAGCAATGCTCCAACCTTATGTGATTCCAAAGCCAATACTTACTCGGATTCTCAACTTAGCTCGTTCTGCTAATGTAATGTACATGGGTTATGATGATGGTTACACACATGTTAACCAAACTCTTAAGGACAAAGTTGCATCTGTTCTTGCTCATCCAATTCCAATGAAATCTTTCTTTTTTGCGGACGATGTCCTTTAAATTCTCTTGTAAGCATGTATGTGGTGTGTGTCCTTTTTCCGTTTTTACAATGTACTTTTGAGTTTTCAAGTGTTGTTGTCTTGAGGCATAGGAAAAATGCCTTAGAAATAATGTTATATATGTGAGATTGCGCCTAAGTTTGTTTTATTCCTTCATAAATAAAACGTTGTTCTTATAAAAAAAAAATTCTTACACCTTAGCTTTGCTTTCGTTCTTTGATATATACTAGCCTGTTTTTATTTAGTTGACACCTTTCTTTTATCAAGCTTACCAACGCACTATTTTACCAATTAATATCTCCAATTCTCGATATTAAAAACTTATAAAAAGTGGATGTTAATAATGTATACATTGAGATGATTCAAACAAGATCCACTTGACTAGGTTTTATCGTAGCGATAAATCACAAAACCTAGTAAAAGTGTAGTTTGTGAATAGTGTAAAAATCAAATGGTGTCAACTAAAAAAATGAAGGAAGTATGTATTGATGGACTTTATTGAAGCATATATAATAAAATTAGTATACACAGATATTAGGTTAAAGAACCATCTCAACCAAAAGTTTAAATTGATTGTTGAAGCCTAAGATTAGTTTATACACTCTATCATGCCCCCTCTTGAAATTTGGATGTAAAATGAGCCACCTTATACCCAACGCAAAAAAAAAAAAAAAAAAAAAAAAAAAAAAAAATTAACTTTAAAAGAGGGGTGGATGAGATTTGATCTCGTGACCTTCGTGCCACATAGGCTCTAATACTATGTTAAAAGACCATCTCAATCAAAAGCTTGAAGCCTGCGATTAATCTATATACTTTATCATATTAATTGTAATTACTAGAAAAAGCGGCAGATCATGCAAGATTCCATCACAAACCATATTGTTATAGATTGAAAAGTATTTCTAATTTATACATTCCTATCACTGCCCTCAAATGTTTTAATATAAAAAGTGAACTGCTAAACGTCACTCCCAATTTACCAGGCGTCGCTCCTATTTTGACATGAAAGGACCATACTGCCCTTCAAATAACTTGGACCATATAAGGCTCCACCACTTGGTTAAAAGATTCCCGAGCATTTTAATATTATTTCCGAGCACATTCGATGCACCACTTGGTTAAAAAAATTCCCGAGCCCACCACATCCAACCCCACGACATCCAACCCAAAATTCCCGAGCCCACCACTAAAAATCCGATTTTTTTTTTAAAAAAAAACTTATTAAGCTTTAGCGACGGGTTTAAGACGATGGATGACGACAACAATCGTACACCGGAGGCATCATCGGAGGATTTTGTAAGTCCTCGGAATTTTATTTTTTTTTTGAAAAGTGTACATCCGCCTAAAAAATTTGGATCCTCCATGGTGGATTCGCCTAAAATTTCTGATGGAAGATCCGGAAATTCTAGGCGGGATGGTGGATTCGGAAATTTTAGGCGGATCCACCATGGAGGATCCAGTTTTTTTAGGCGGATGTCCAATAATTTTGTTTTTGTTTTTTTTTTATTGATTAATTAATCAAAACGATTTTTTTTAAAATTAATTAATCAAATTTATTAATGTAATTTTGTATGATAATTATAATTTTTATTGTGATTATTATTATTTTTGTGATAATTTGAGTAATTAGTATTAGTATTATTAGTTAATATTAGTTATTTTTGTGAATTTTCTGTTTTTTTTTTTAAAAAAATTCAGATTTTTAAGTTTATCGAGCGTGAAATGTATTGTAAGTGTTGTGAGTATTTATATACGAGGGGTAAATACGGAATTTCAAGAAAAAAATGCGAGCGACGCCAAACCGTCATGATTAGAAGTTGATAATGGAGAGACTTGCACATACAGCCCTGGCTGAAATTAATCAATCTCTAAATTACTTCCACAATCTGAAAATGAATCGACTCCCCCCCTCCCCCCCCCCCCCCACACACACACCCATGACCTATCCTCCCAGGAAAAAAAACCGCTTATGAATAATGTAATCAGGGGCAAGTAAATGAAACTTACCAGAACATCATCTAGGCATAAAGGTGACAACCCTCCCCTATTGAACCAGCTATTCTTCATCTTGATACCATGAATTCAGAGGAAGGAGAAGATATTAGTACTAAGGAAGTAATTATGTTGGCAATGAAGAAGTTACTAAAATAAATCCCCAAATGAGGAAAAGGGATACCTGAGAAGGGGAGAGAAACAGAAGGTTGAATTGACAAGCAATCTTTATAATCAAGTCTCTCCAAAAATGAAATTGAGGCTCCCAGTCAGACCTTTGGCCGCTAAAAGCCTTGTACCGAGCAGTAGCCTTGACATCATCATCCCAATCTGGGATTTGCACCCTAATGAATTCAACTACATCTAGTTCCTTCGTCATTTACAATTCAACTACAACAAGGACGACAGCACTCACACTTAAGTTGCATGACTGTGTTTCAGCATATCAGTGACAGGACCTTAACACACAATACTGGCAAAATCAGTCTATCACTTGCTTCCTTAGCCATTTCCAAAAACACTACTCCAATTAAAAAGGCCCAGCAAAGAACAGACTTTTTGTCGTACGAACAGTCGGTAACTCGGTATGCTGACGCAAAAGCAATGCAAATTTTAGGAAACGCTAAGATATAAACACAAAGTGAAATTCCTCCCTAAATTATTATCAATACAAATCATAATAACATTATTTTCCATCAAATTATCTAATAATACGTACAAATTCACTATAATTATGTTGAAAAACTGCAATTTCGAAAATCAACCAATGCACCATAATCATTGTTGCCGAGGGAAACAGGGGATGAGAATTGCTCATAAATTTAAATTAAACTATTCATAACATCAAAAACAACGACATTTACATAGAATTATAGTTAACAATTAAGAATATATGTAAGAAAAAGATAAACATGAAGTAGAGAATATACAAGAACCCTAGAATTTTGCACATAATCAACAAAACATAATTACAATACAAGAGATAGTGACATCAAAATTCGAAAAACGAAAGCAATTAAAATTGATGATCATGGAGTAGAAAGCAATTAAATTAATAGATAAATGCAAAGAAAGAGAGAATCATACTTTGATTGAACCAAAATGATTGAGAATTTGTAATGGAGAGGAATTTTTTTGGAGGAAACCCTAGAATTAGAAGCAAAGGTTAAGTGAATTGTATGATTGAGAAGTCCAAAGCCCATGAAGTGGTGGAAGGTGTGGCCGAACAGCGAGTTGTGGTGGTGGCCGGCTACCGAGGTGCGAGTATTTTTTTATTTTTTATTTTTATTTTTTTTAAAGAGTATAGAGATGAACAAGGATGGACTTTTTGTTTATTATTATTATTATTATTATTATTTTGATTAATACTTACTGAAATAAAATTAATTTGTTCAATTCTTCAACAAAAAAAAAATAAAAAATAATTTGTTCAAATTTGTTAAATTGGTTTTTTATATTTAAGTTTAAGGTAAAACTAGTTTAAATCCCGTGTTACTTAACCTAATTATGAATTACTATGTTAATTTAGCAATAATTTTTTTTAAATAAAAAATCAATATTTTTAATTGAAACAAATACTTGAATTTCTCTTAAAAGAAAACTAACTTGAATTTTATGTTATATTGATATCAAAAGTTACTCGTATTGATCGTTAAACATTTAAAAAAACCACAAATTTCATGATTATAGGAATTTATATAAGAATGAAATTTTATGTTATTCATTTATAACCCAACCTGTGCAATGTACTTATATACTCCATATGTTCCTATTTTGTTGGCATGTTTTATGTTAAAATATTTTCATTGAATGCATATAAAATATACTTAGAATATAGTTGCCAAATTGAAAGTTAGATATTATATGATATATCAATTAATATGCATGAAGATTTGAAAAAAAAAAAAAAAAAAAAAAAGAAAGTGAAAGTGGCAGGAAATTATTTAATCAGAACATGACAAGTGTCATGTCAGATTCGCTTTTAGTATTATGTTATTGATTTTAATGAATTGATATCACAAATTAATCGGAAGGCAATCGTGCAGCGTGTTGATTGGCTAAGTCATTCAAGACTAACAATACTGCAAAAGGAACTAGCCCCGGAGAGTTGGTATGCCCTCATTGACGGTGCTGTAAAAGGAGTCCCTGGTCCAACAGGTGAGGGTGGGGAGGCTATTATTCATGCTCACCTGGGCTTCTTTGCATTGTCTCAGCCTTTTCTACAAGCTTCAGCAGGGCCGAGGTCCTGGCTTTGGTTCATGGCCTAGAACTTACACGCAATTTACACATTGGCAAGCTATTAATCCAACTTGATAATCTAGCATGCGTGTAAGCTAGCTCTAGTATTAACTCACCGGCATAAGGAATCGGTGAGTGTGCTCACTTGAACAATCATTGCCGCTCTTTAAAAAAAAAAATTCAGACCAAGGTCATTGTAATTTGAAAAAAAGATATACATATTTATCATTTTCAAAATAAATGATCTATATATCTATCATTTTCAAAATTATGAAATGTACTTTTGTAAAAAAAAAAAAAAAAAAAAAAAAAAGGTATTAGGGAGACTCGCAAGATAAAGGAGAGGGAACTAAATGAATTCCATGAAATTTGATTGATTACTAAAATACAAGAATTTAAGGTGGGTAACAATATCACTATTCCACCAGCTAAGCTTTATAAAGTACATTATATGTAAAACACTATGACAAATTAATTACAAAGTATATATATACATATTACTATCAATACTATGTATTATTTAAATTTTGAATAAGAAAAAAAAGGTACTTGTATTATATACTTCCTCCGTTTTTTTTTTATTGCATCATAGGGGTTTTGGAGGCAAAATTTGGTAGTGGGAAAAAGTAAGAGAGAGAAACGTAAAAATACAAAATAGTCCATGTAATGTAAGATAAAATAAAAAATAAGTGTGACAAAGTAAGGGTATGTTGGGTATTTGCAGTGTGGACATAGATATTTTTTATCCTAAAAAGGAAATGATGCAATAATAAGTAAACTTCCTAAAGTAGTAAGTGATGCGATAAAAAAAGAACGGAGGAAGTATATCTTACAATGTCACATCTAGTGTAAAAATGTACAATATATAATTTTTGAATGAGCTCGTGGAGTACAATATCATATACTTATTGTCTATGTAAAGAATTCATGTAATTTTTTTTATATATAAGAGAAATTGAATCAAATAATATCTTATACTAGTATAATGCTAGCTATTTTTGGTATATGTATATGTATACTTTTAAGTGGTTGATGAGAAATAGTGATGCTTATTTCTAGTATTAGGCTATTAGGCATCAGAATTTGCAATCCAATGTCTGCCATTGACAAAGCTCTTAGCAAGGAAGGGATGGGCTGTATCATAGTCCAGTTCTCTTGCCCATGAGGTACCACTAACTGCTGCTGCTCCTGGACCCCAACACTTGTATACTCCAAAAAATGCAGTCCTGCAACATAAAACTCTATCATATTAGACTACTAGGTTAGGTTCCGTGTCATGCACGTTACGTTATTTTAATTAATTTTGACAGATTAATTTATTTATAGCATAAAATTTTAAAAATTGTTTAATATCTTGAACAAAATTGAAGTAACATGAAATATTTGATCAGGATCATATTCTTAAAAAATATTCCACCAAATACATCTTCTTGAAAAAGATTATATGTTTCCTTATTATTCCGCAATTAATTGAGTATCAACATAAAAATGGTAAATATGATTGCTCATTTATATAGTTGACAAAAACAAACATTTTTTTTTTAAATAACTTCCTTAAATATTATAACTTCCTTAAATAACTTCCTTAAATATTATAACTTCCTTAAATAACTTCCTTAAATATTATGCAATTTATAACTTCCTTAAATAACTTCCTTAAATATTATATAACTTCCTTAAATAACTTCCTTAAATATTATATAACTTCCTTAAATAACTTCCTTAAATATTATATAACTTCCTTAAATATTATGCAATTTATATAGTTGACAAAAACAAACATTTTTTTTAAAATAACTTCCTTAAATATTATATAACTTCCTTAAATATTATAACTTCCTTAAATAACTTCCTTAAATATTATAACTTCCTTAAAGATTATATAGTTATTGATTTGGCAACCTATTTCAAGTACTTCAACCTATTTCAAGTACTTCGTAGTTTATAACAGGCCCAATTTTTAATCACTTTAAATTTTATAGTTGTTTGACAAGCACCTTGTGAAGAAATTTAAGGGGTTAAATTAAAATGTTACCTTCTTTTTTTTCTTCTTCTTTATTTTTTTTTTTTTTTTTTGAATGGGTTACTTAAAATTTCCATTTAATTTATTTTCTTTATTTTTAATAATCGAAAATGTTATTTTAGAGATTTCAACTCCCTAATCAATTAGTTACAACTCCATTTCAATCGATGTGTTAAACACAATTTTATTGTCCACGGTAGATAAAATCTGTGCAAAAGTTCTCTAAGGCATTATAGTGATGACTAACTTTGTGATTTCAATACTTATTAAAGCATCTTCAATAGTTGTGAATACTCAAGGTAGGACCTTGCTTGCAATACTTACAAATCTCAAGCTAATAGCTAATGCTTGAAAAGACTATTAAAATTACTAGCTGATTATTTAGTAGTTAACTATTGGGGTACAAATTAAGAAGAAGGTAAAAAGCAAGCTAATATGACAATTAGCTTGTCATTAGAGATGCTTTTAAAGGCTAATATCACAGCCTAATCTAATCTAATATATATATATAGGGGAGTTTTTTTCCAAGTCTTTAGAGCGCCATCTAGGATTTTATTTTTTAAAAAATTATTAGAGTGCCAATTAGGACTAATATTTTTAAAACGTTACAATCAGATTATGCCACGTAAGATTAGTTTTTTTTCAAAGCGCTACATAGGTTTATAATAAAAGCGCCACGTAAGATTTAAAATTTTAAAACGCTACAATAAGATTATGCCACGTAAGATTAATTTTAGAGCGTTACATAGGAAACTGTTATACTTTAGCCAATGGAAAAAAAAATGCAATTTATTTTAGATCAAAAAATTTATATTAATTATAAAAATAAAATCAGCGCGCTTTTTGTGTAGCTGGTCATATCGTGTGGCCGAATGAGACACACCCAAACACTGACCAAATAACCCTGATCGATTGAGTAACTCCTGATCAACCAAGTAACTCTTGACCAAGTAATTCCGACCATACGGTGTGACTAGCCACATACGAAACTTTGTAAAATAAAATATTGTCTATTTATATTACGAATTTTATCTAAATATGAGAAAGAAAAAAAAAGTTAATAAGTCAATTTATAATAAAAAAAAATTCAAGTACTACGCAAGCGAATATCACAAAGTTTATTAGATAAATATATATTTAGTAAAATATTTTATTTGAAAAAATACAAATAAACCGTACATCACACGGATTTCATCCAGTATTAATATAAATTGTTTCACCTAAGAAATGGTAAAACTCGTGACAATGGTTGCAATTCCCGATTGATGCATTTTGATTAATTAAAGAGGTGAAAGTCGATGTTAATAAGATTATATTAGGGGGGAAAAAAATAGGGCAACACTTGGTAGATTTAAGAAGGCATATGCAATACATAAAAACCACTTGAAACTTGAAAAACACCATTCAAATATATATGATGGTGATTTTGTGTTACCGTGTTAAGGAGGTACTTACTTGTTCTTCTCGTTTTTATGGTCCCAATCGTCCCATCCACCATGAGCAACGATGTCATCGAAATAAGTATAAGAATAGACAATTCGAGAGTATTGGCTCATTGCTCGGCCCACATAGATTGGTCCACTTCCTGTCACCCTACAATTTACGAATGCAAACCCTGTCTTCTCTTCTCGTGATGTCCTGAATTGTGCTGCTATCGACCCAAACCTTGTTGCCGTTGAGTGTATTTCACAATCCTGAATAACAAATAAACTACGTATTAGGAAATCCAATCATGATTAACCATTATTACATCGATCCATATTAATTTACATATAGATTAACTTTTTTCCGAACATCCTAAATAATATTAGCTACACTCCTTTCTATTGTCGTCCTATACTTCATTTTGGGATAATCTTTGAGATTGCCCCATACCTAGTAAGTTTTTGCTCTCACAAACTCAATAGTCCGCACTAAAATACTGACTCATGCCCAATTATGTTGCCTAATCCTTAAGAAACGGAACTTTGCTCTATGAGGCGACAATCAAAAGGGATGGTGGGAGTATTCTATATATGTAGGTGACTATAAAAATCGGACTCCCACCTTTTAATAGGATACTATATGTTAGTGCTAGCATGATTGCACCCACTAATATATATTACACTTAGTATTTTTAAAAGTATCCCATTTTGATTTTTTGCACTTGTCACGTACCACTTTGACTAATGTTAGTGAATTATACATAAGGAAACATATAATCATGTTAATACTTGTAGAAATCAGCTCAATATGTAATTTTCAAATATTAAATTTTTATAATTCAGACTTATTAATAATTAAATATATTATTCGTCAAAGTTATATATTAGCAGCATACGCGCTTAGTGGATTGCGACATTTAATAAAAATTAGAGGGAGTGCAGATTAATTAATTAACAATGTAATGAAACATTCATGCATGTGAAGATCATTACCTAAAATAGTATAAACATTTTGTAATATGTGATTATAAACTAATAATTAACCCATGCACTGAAGAATGCAGACTGCTTAACCCCTTATAATACAGAAAATAGATTTTAAATGTACTAGTAGGAGTAAAATAAAGAATTTATAGAAGTGGATAACATTATTCTTCAATTCATCATACATTATTAAACTGAGAATGTTGCTAAATAAGAGCTTACCTTATACATGGAACGACCATTGCCAAATATGAAATCAATAGAGCCCTCAATATAACAATCCTTGAAGTAATGTCGACCTGCATCGTCACACAAAGTGTCCTGATGACCATAAAATCCACAACCCGTGAAGAAGGCCTTGTCGCCGGATATCCTAAAAGCCGCCGCCTGCCACCCCTCCATTCCCGGTAGTGGAGCTGGCGCGGTGTTCTACATTTAATTTGTACATACATCATTTCAATTTAATTAGCTAATAAAAATAATGTTACATTATTTGTAGACGTATAGCTAGTTGTATTACTCGCATAGGAAGTAAAACATTTGATGAATGTACGTACGAACCTTGAAGCTAATGTTTCTAGCGGAGAAATGATTAGCCAAGACAGTGACCGAGGCCGTGCGGTAGGTACGTAGTTGTGCTCCGTCGGGGCCGGGATCACATGCCCTATCATGCCACTCGATCACCGTCACGTCTCTTCCCGCCCCTTGAAATGTTATGTAAGGCTTTGTTGCTGGTACCTCTACTTTTTCACTGCAATCAATCATCCAAATTCACCCTCAACATTAATATTACTATTGGCTTGATGCTAATGTATAAGTACTAAATAATTTGCAATTACAATTACCACTACACGTTCTTTTTTATTCTTCTTATTTGATTAAGAGGGAGCCTTAGTTTCTCATATGACATTTTTGTAAATAAACCAACAACTTTATTCAATTGTGAAGCCCACAATAATGATAAAGTTGTTGATTTATTCACGAAAATGCCCTCATGAGAAACAAATTTCATTTCTCATTATGAAAAATAGGGAATTTTCCTTTAATAAACTAAAGTATGTTTTAGAGACAAGATATATATATATATATATATGAAGAACAAGCAGAGACAATGAGATCGAGTATAACATTTCCTACATGCAACAAATGTGATGAGGTGGTTATGTATGTTACTAATGTACTATACATGCGTAAACATACATTGATTACGAAATTTTTATACAATTATAGCTAAAGGTAAATGTAATAATCATGAACCATCTACCTAGCATTATTTCTTGCAAGTGTAAGAAAGTGTGAGAGACGAGGGCAAAGAATATTAGCACATTACATGTATAATCCAGGACGAATATGAATGATGACATTAACCATGTTATCATCCGGGACAGCATCCACGGCTGCTTGGACGGAAACATAATCTCCACCACCACCAATATCGACAGTGATATGTCGATAGCTAGGAGGCCATTCCCACAAACGGTGATGGCCCCTCGTGTAGTTGAACACCGGTGATGAAGATGGAGATGGAGACGGAGATTGTGATGGAAATGGCGGCGTGGTAACACCACCATTTCCATGATGATGGTGGTGGTGGAGGTGGCGAGATCCTACAACAACCTGCAAGGTAGCAAGTGATAATAATAAGTACCATAATGTAACAATAAAAGTACAATAAGATAATAAAGAAGCCATAATTTTAGACAAAAATAATAGAAAAAAAAATTGTAGGATTTCTTCTTATTTCTTGGGTTTGATTTTTTGTCAGCTCACTCAATTCTGACAATGGATCAAATAAGATGAAGGGCGTTACTATTTATATCAAGATTTGTCTCTATTGTTATTATTCAATGTAACGGTCATTTTACTTAACTCATACATATAATATGTTTCCCTCCATTATACGGAGTAACAGACAAATATAGTGGGTCGAGAAATAAAAATATGTAGCCGTTTATTTGGCCCTTTTTTATTGGACCATAAGAAATTTTTACTACCCTTTCTTTGAAAATTAAATTTAGAAATTAAATACTGTACTATTTATGAATTACAGTAAAATTAATAAGCTTAAAGACAAAGTTGACAACATTCTCTTTTGATTTACTTGGATTGGAATGTTCGCCATTATATATATATTGTATACGAACATTTATGTAGATGCTTGCGCTGCGTTGCCTTCATACATGAAATCAAAACTCTCTATATACCTACACAATAGCATTGCTTGTTATTTTCAGGGCCGTCTCAAAGGATTTAAGGGCCCTAACGTATAAAAATCGAATCCCTAAATATACGTGTACATAAATTTAAGAACGTAAAAATATGTTACTTTTATTTAATAAGCATCTAAAGTACTTTGTTTTTTCATTTCATAATGAAGCCTTCTAAGTTACGAATTAAAATTTAAGTACGAAAATTCTAGTCTTGTGTTTTTTCCGTACATCACAAATTTACAAATCAATATTTTAACAAAATATTATGAATAAAAGTCCAAATTTATAACTAAAAGTCCAATATATTTTTTTTTTTGACACAAACCGAAAGCTCATCATTTTATTAAAGCATCAAGTTTGCAAGATCATTACAAATAACCCTTTGAATATCAAGAGGGTACTCTTCTAACCTAATACGACACTCATTGAAATTGCAACTTAAATTAGCCAAGCTATGCGCTACACCATTGCCAACCCTTCTAATAAACAAAAACTCCACTCTTCTACAGTCTTTCAGGAGCATGAGGTGATAGGCGTGTCGCGTACCTAACAAAAATAACCTAACTATTCCTCCTAACTATGTAGTCGGGCAAGTAAGGGTCGAATCCCAAGAGACTAAGGTTCACCTAAATTATCTAGACTCAAATAATTACTAAGCAAGAATCAAATCAATGATGGAATAAACTAAGAGCTAATGTATGGAAAACTAGAATAAATCAAAAGAATATAATGAATCAATAAGCTAAAACATCCAAGATCAAGTATCACCACAATTACGATCGATGCAATTATATATCTACCCCTAACATACAATTCCAACTAACATGGGGAAAAGTAAACCCTAATCAATACCAAGGACCTCTCTCGAGTATCAATGACTTCCCTAACATACAATCAAGCCTATTCTCATGGAATCATGCAATTTAGAGACATTAAACACTTTACTTCACTTCCCAATTATCAATTCAACTACTCTCGTGATGAATTTCAAACCCTAAATTAATCTACCCAATTCCGTTAACACCCAACTCTCGTTGTGATTAAAACAATGGAATAATAACAATACTAATTATCTCTAATCTAGTATTGGCATAATCACAATCAATTTAGCATAAACAATTGCAATAGTTATTAGAGAACTTAAAGAAATTAATTTATGCATCAATCATAATTGGGCTACCCTAGATCTTGGAATATAAGAACTACTCACTCATATTAAAATAAACAATAGCAAAATCAATCAAGGAAAACATAATTAAGAAATAAAGAATGAAAGGAAAATACCAAATCTTGAAATAAATGGAAATTGCAAAAGTAGAACTTGAATCTTGAATTACAAAAGCAACGTAAGAGTTTTAGAGAGAACTAGGTCTAAAAGGAAAATACTGGATAGTGAAATGTAATAAAGTTTGGGGTATTTATACTCCCAACAAAAAGATAAGAAAGCAAAGAAAAATCAGCGCATATCCTCTCCTTAAGAGGAAAGGACGTGCCTACAAGAGGCACGGACGTGCCTCACTTCGAGTAAGGTTTTTCTTGTCTTCTGGACTCCAGGCACGGACGTGCCTCATATGCAAATTCAAAGTCAGCAGGGGCACGGACGTGCCTCACTTCCAGAGAGTTTTCTTCAGTTTCTGAGGCCTAGGCACGGACGTGCCTAAACTGGGCACGGATGTGCCTAGCTTCTAGATTACTTCTTCTTTCTTTCTTCAATAATACATGGGCGTGCCTCTCTTAAACATGGTCGTGCTTGACTCCAAAAAGGCCTAAATGACTCGTTCTTCGACCAATGAGCTTCGTGAACGTCCATGGCCTCGGTTTAGTCTCATGACTTCATAAAAATCTCCATATTTGCTTCGTTAATCCTGAAATACATCAAAAACAACGAAACTACCCATAAAAGTATCGAATCATCGAAACTAAACCAAATCAAACCAAAATGGACTAAAATACTAAGCAAGACTAATAAAAACAACTAAAAAGAAGACAACAAACATGCACAAAACACGGCTTATCATGAGGATGCATATGTCTTTCACTACGTTCCCAAAAGCATTCGGAGGCGTGATACCCTTCTTCATATGATGGAACAATTTAATATTGTCAGTTTCAAGAACGAAGTCCCTGAAACCCGCTTCAATAGCTGTCATAAAGCTCTGCCGCATTGCCATTGCTCCACCAACATCAACCTCAAAGTTTCCCTGTAAGCACGAGCAGAAAGCCAGCACCATATCCCCAACACTGTCACGCAAAACCCCTCCCATTCCAAGCTGCTGCTGATTAAAGAAAGCAGTGTAGCGTCTGTGTTTAGCTTATACACATCTGCTGCAGGGGCCTTCCACACCGAGCCAAGCTGCTGCACTGGTTGGACAACTCCACACTTCTCCAACGCATCTTCATACTCCCCGGCCAGCAAGGCCAGCAACCTTATTAATAATGTCAGCCTCCATCTTTCGTTTCCCTTCAAAAATCCAACCATTTCGCCTCAACCAAACTCCTCAAGCCAAACACCAAAACATATCCCACCACTTTGGCTCTTTGATTTTTTTCCTTCATAGCATTACACCAATCTCGAAACCCACTTTTCTCACCTAAATTCGTATCCAATCTAAGCATAGAATATTTCCGAATTATGCTAACAGACGGATACACTAATAGCATATGTAAGATAATCTCATTTTCCTCCCCACACATTGGGCAAATTGGATCATCAATCATTCCTTTAGCTGCAAGGTTGCTTCTAGTAGGAAGACTATCTTTAACACATTGCCACGCAAAGAACTTAATTTTGGGTGCAATGTGAGCATGCCAAATAGATCTCCAGGTGAACACATTCTGCCCATTCAAAGCAGATGTCTTTCCTCTATCCTCACTTTCAATCAGCATATTATACACACTTTTAACATTGAAATGCTCATCCTTCGAGTGGTGCCACGACTAGCCATCATTCTCTTTAAAAAAGGAATGGGAATACTACATATATCATTCACTTCCCTCAGCGAGAAAAGCTCATTTAACAGGCTTATATTCCACTTCTTTTCCTCCCACAACTCATTCACAAAAACTAGAGCAAACTCACCCTATTCCCTTTGTGCAAAAACACTAAAATCAGGAAGTCTTGGGACCCATGGATCATCCCAAATATATATATTAATACTACACCCCTTGCCGACACTCTTTCTAGCTCCTTTTACAATCACCTCCTTAACACTTAAAATTGATATCCATGTAAAGCTTGCATTAGAGGCAATTTACCTTTTAGCACTCGACACATTAGAGACGTCTCATTTGTCAAAATTCTCCATGCCTGTTTCGCTGGCATTTCTTTGTTGACGAGTTGCATATTACGGAAACTCAAACCACCATTATTTTTTGCTCGATACAACTTGTGCCACACAACCCAACAGGTTTTCCTCTCTGCCCTTTTTTCCCCCCAAAAGAAATTCCGACACATTCATTCCACCTCCTTCAAAATGCTAACCGGAATTGAGAAGCATTGCATTGCATAAGTAGGAATAGCTTGAGCCACAGCCTTTATAAGAATCTCCTGACCTGCTTGAGATAAAAATCTTTCCTTCGAGCCTTTAAGCTTCTTCCAGACCCAATCCTGAATACTCTGGAAAACGATTTTTTTAGACCATCCAATGTAGGTTGGAAGGCCTAAATATTTTTCATTTCCTTCGACAGCCTTAAATGATAACTTCATCTGAAGCATATTTTTCTTTTCACGATCAATGTTTCGGCTAAAAGACACCTCCGATTTTTCCATATTCAGTTTTGGGTCCGATGCCACCTCATAGGTTGAAAGAAGCTCAAGAACTCTATCGGTTTCTTCTTCATTTGCTTGAAAAAACAGGAGACTGTCATTTGCAATAAACAGATGTGAAATAGGCTCAACATGCTTTCCAACTTTTACTCCATGAATCATTTTCCTTTTTTTCCGCATCCCTTAAAAGAGCCGATATACCCTCTACACACATAAAAAAGAGAAATGGGATAAAGGATCTCCTTGCCGGAGCCCTTTACTTGCTTAAAACCCCGAGACGACTGTCCATTGACCAACACATCAATAGAAACTGAAGTCACACAGATCATTATATTCTGCACAAAAGTCTCCGGAAAGCCAAAAATTTTCATCATTCTTTCCAAAAAACCCATTCTACTCTATCTTATGCTTTGCTCATATCAAGCTTCAACCAAAAAAACCATTCTTCCATGTCTTCTTCTTCCTCAAGTAATGAAAGCATTCATAAGCCACCAAAATAGTCTGTAATTAATCTATCCGGCACAAAACCACTTTGAGATTTCCTAATAATAGTAGGGAGTACTTTTTAAGTCTATTAGCTAAGACTTTTGACACAATTTGTTACACAACATTGCGCAAACTAATTGGCCTATAATCAACAGGAGACTCACACTCTTTATTTTCGGAATTAGCACAATATAAGTCTGATTAATAAGACCTATATCTACTACATTACTAAGAATACTCAAAGAATTTCTAATAACAACATTGCCAACAATATTCCAAAAATTTTGGTAGAAAGTTGCAGACATACCA